AAGTGGGTACAGGAGGAGTATAATTATCTAAATTAGCAGTTTTAATATAAGAGAATGAATCTCCTTAGATTGATAGATGGAAAGATGACTTGAGAAATATAATAAAGAAATGTATAATGGAGAATAAAAAGATGACAATAATTATAGATGATTAAAGAAATGCACATAATTAACCATAAATATATTAAGATATAAGTACTCTATTGAATTCAGGTGATCTTGATATATTTAATAGATAGGAATTAGATGATCTCCATTCAATATTCTAAGAATAAGCACTTTAAGAATAAAAGGATTCTAAAATTAATTTAAAAATTCTATTACATAAATCATATGTAAATAGATTAGTTAAAAATTTGCATTGTATAGTATGTATAACATCTACAATTAAATTTCGACATTATCCAAATTTAATTAATTGTTCTACAATACTTGCATTATAATAATTACCAGATTAAGCATTACTTAGTATTGCTTAAATGTAATTAAAACATTTAGATATTAATTAAAAATAAATGAGTGAATTATTCAAATTATTTCATTAATCTGCTTAACTTATTGACAATCATTAAAAAATATAAACTGTTACTTCAATTCATTTTTAAGATCTCATTTTTACATTCAATAAACTTTATTAATAAAAAACTAATGAATTATAATCAAGAATTATTCGTATTAAAAATGGACTTTCTAAAATTTAAATTGCTAATGAAACTATAACTGAATTAAAAAAAGAATTACTTGAAATTACACCAGAAATTGAAAAATCATAATAAGAAAGTTCAAGAATGATGGAAAAATTAAAATAAGAAAAAGATTAAGCATTTTATTAAGAATCATTATTAAGTGAAGATGAAACATAAGCTAATGTTTAATAAATTTAAGCAACTAAATTAGCTAATGAAGCAACCTAAGCAGTAAAAGAAGTTAATCTTTTATTAGATTAAACTCTCTAAGATGTATCTAAATTGAAAAAAGAACATTTAATAGAAATCAAATCATTAGGAAAACCACCTAAACCAGTAGTCATTATTTTAACAGGAGTAGTCATCTTAAATCTAGATAATTTACGATAATATATTACTTAACCTCTTACTGCTTTAACAAATTAAGAATACTTTGAAATTGCTAAGAAATATTTATTAAATGATCCTAAAGAATTATTAGAATTAATAAGAAATTATGATAAAAACAATATCAATCCTTATAATATTAATAGACTTGAGAAGATAGTATTATCAGAACCAGATTTTACATTTGAAAGAGCAAAATAATGTTCTGCAGCTGTTAAATATTTGTATTCTTGGGTCAAAGCTATGTATGAATATAATAAAGTGTACATTGAAACTAAACCATTAAGAGAAAGATTAATTGAAGCATAAAAATAATTAAAAGATAAAACTGATATTTTAAATGAAAAGAAATCATAATTAACAATTGTATTTTAAAAAGTTAAAGTCTTATAAGAAAAATATGATTAACAAACATAAAAGTGTGAATTTCTTAATAAATAATTAGAAGAATCATCAAATAAATTATAACGTGCAATTGGATTAACTTCAGGATTGGAATAAGAATAATAAAGATGGTCTCATTAAATTAATGTATTATAGAATTCACTAAAAAGTGTATTGGGAGATTGTGCAATAGCAGCTGCTTATTTGAATTATTGTGCTCCTCTTTCAGAACAATTAAAACATTAATTATTATAATAATGGTCTAAATAAGTTAAAGCTAAAATTGGATATGAAAATCATCCTCTATAGTTTTTAAATCCATCCTAAATTTAAGATCTAAATTAAATCAATTCAATATTTTTATAACATACTATTAAACCTATTTTATGTATTGATCCATAATGTTAGGCAAATGAATATATAAGAAATAATAATTAAGTAATGGATGTTAATGATTAACATTAATTCGAAGTTGCACTTTCATTAAAATAAAGTATTCTTATTGAAAATTTAAATAATATACCTGATTGGTTAACTGAATATATTAATAATAATCCTCATCCAAAAATTAAAATTTATGTTACCACAATGTAATATAATTTTTAAATGACTTCATTGAATTATTCATAATTTTATGTTATCAATTTCTAGATTACTAAATATAATGCTGAAGAATTGATTTTAAATTAAATTGTTAATACTTAAAATCCAGAATTATATAAACAATAAGTTGAATTAAAATAGATGGAATTTAAGAATGAATAGAAATTAAAATAAATAGAAGATACTATACTTTCTATATTAAATGTTGAAAATATCAAAGATTTACTAAATTAAGAAACATTAATAAATCAATTATCTAATTCAAAGAAAACATTCAATGAAATACAATTGGCTTAATCAGAATTTTAATAAATATAAAAAGATTTAATAACTACTAAACATTAATATAAATAATTAGCTTCTAAAATAACAGACTTATATTTCATTTCTTAAGATATGTAATGTTTAGATCCTATGTATTAATTTTCATTAGAATGGTTTATTACTTAACTTCTCTATACTATTAAAAACACTAATAATCTAAAACTTATTTTTTCTAATTTTCGTTTAAGATATTATTCTTGTTTAAGTAGAGTTTTAACTGAAAGACATAGATTAGTTTTAGCATTTCTACTTGCCAAATAATGTTTAGTCTCTGTTGATCATGAAGATTGGTAAGCCTTTATTGGATATTCTAAATTAAAGACTGATGATTTTTAAGCTAAAATAAATCCATTTACATGGATAGATAATGCTAATTATTAAAGAATTTGTTCTGAATTAAATCATTTTTAATTGGTAACAGCAAAAATACTTATTAATAATTTCGAATAAATTAAATAATTTTATTTAAGTAAGAAATACTAAGAAACAGAAATACCTCATTTAGATAGATTAGATGAAATGTAAAGAATATTTATAGTCAAAGCAATTCGACCAGATTACATTTAAATTATGATCAAATAATTTATATATAGAATGTTAGATTTTGATATTGATAAAGTCTAATCAATTCCACTTGATATTACATTTAATGAAAGTTAACATAATAAAATATTGTTATATGTACTTCAAAATAATTAAGATCCTATTGAATAAATCAAAGATTTTGCAGTAAGTAAAAATTTCAATAAAAAATTATGGACTTTATCTTTAGGTTAAGGTTAAGGAAATAAAGCTGAGAGACTCATAAGAGAAGCTGCAGAACAAGGACTTTGGATTGTAATTTAAAATTGTCATTTACATCAATAATGGTTGAATGAATTAGATAAATTAATTATGATTGAATCACATGTAGATTATAGATTGTGGTTAACATCTAAATCAATCATTTAATTTCCAGGAAGAATTTTACAAAAAAGTGTTAAATTAACTTATAATACGAATGATGAGAAATAAATAGAAATGACAGATATTGCTAAATTTCATTTTGGATTATTGAATTTCTGTAAATTAGGATTGTTAGGTTTTAATAAAAAATATTAATTTACTTAATATGATTTAAATATAACTTAAGAATAAAGTAATAAGATTGATGTAAGTGACTAATTAAAACCAATAGCTTTAACTTATATAACATCTTAATTACATTATGGAGGTCATATTGTAGATGAATAAGATTAAATCATCCTCAATAAACTATGTTGCTATTATTTAATAGATAAAGTGAGTCCAGTCAATAGCAATCTTATTTAAATATATGTTGGAGAATAAATGTGTCAAGAATTTGTTAATGATCTATTGTACAAAGAATATGGATAAATAGATCAAATAAATGATGAAATAAATAAAACTATTTTATATTTAAGTTCAAATTTACCAAAATAGATTATCTTTGATAATTCTAGGAATCATAAATTGGATCCTTTTTTAGTTTAGGAGATTTTATTGATAAATTAGTTAATTGAATTAATAGAAGAATCTATATCTTTAATTTAAAGAATATTAACAGGAGATTCTTCTCCTAATACAATGATAGCAGAAGATATTAAGTATTAAAGAGTACCATAAGAATGGATGGATATTGGATTCAGAAGTGATAAAAAACTAGGATAATGGTTTTAAGAATTTTTGAAGAGAGTGAATTTCATAAATAATTGGAATGATTAAGGGATACCAAATGCAATATGGTTAGGAGGATTGATGAAACCTAATAGTTTTTTGATGTATGCAAAATATAGTGAGGAATGTTTAAATAAAAAAACTATATATACTATTTTAGATAGTATTCAAATAGAACATATAACAAATTGTCCTGCAAATGGTTATTATTTATATGGATTAACTTTATAAGGAGCAAAATGGAATTAGAAACAACATATATTAGTAGAATCTAATTCCATGTTAAATGAATTCCCCATCTGTTATTTGAATTACAAAGAGGATGATGAATATTAATTATTCTATTCATGTCCATTATATAGATTAATAGATAGAAAAGAGTTGGTAGCATTCATTCCAATGCCTTGTGATACCACTAGAGAATGGATATTGAGTGGAGTTGCAGCTTTTATTAATATTAATATATGAATAAAACTTAAGTATTAAAATCTCTTGTGTTAAGACAACCAAAAGAAAATTTAAAAAGATTGCATCCAGTGGCATAATAAAAGAGAGAATAATACTCTTAAACTCCAGAACCACTATAATATAAAACAAGAGAAGAGTCTCCATTTAGAATATTGAGATCTTAAAATGGTAATCTTCCAGTATACAAAAAATATTTTGTGAGAAGTGAAGTACCAAGAACAGTAATAAGACACATTGAAGGAGATGTGAATGAATTCATAAAAGAATTAAGAAAGGTATGTTCAAATGCAGATGTAATTGAAAAGGTATAAAATTAATGCAAATAAATTAGGTTGGAAGAGTAGAAGTAAATGGGAGTCATACAATAAGTGTAAGAAAATGGTTGACATAATTAGGATTCTGAGGATAATATGTAAGACAAATATTATAATAAATTTATGCGTGTTTTTTACTTTGTTTTTTATATAATTCTCAATTGCAATCTAAACATTCTTATTCCAACATTAATTATTTAATATTAATGGATCGATTAATTCTTATAATTTATTCTTTTTCTCCTTGAATCATATTTATCCATTCTGGATACTTCAAAATTAATTCATTTATGATTGTCTATAGTCCATTATTGAAATTAAAATCAAATTTTTATTTGATCAAGTACTTTTCTACATTGATCAAATACATATTAGATACATCTCTAATATGAAAATAGTGCTATAATTGAATAGCAATAGATCTTAATTGATTATTTTTTTAGTAATCTTATTAATCTCTAAATATAATTTAAGTCATTTATGACTCTTATTCTTAAAGTTTTATATCTTACTACTAAGTATTTTCAATATTTGGCAAAGGAAATAAATCTATACATTCTCCTTATGTTTATATATAATTAAGCAATTTCTATTAAAATATAATATTCTTATTATTATTTTGAAGAAATTGCTAATTATTAATTCTTACTTCTAAACTAAGTTTATTATTCTTATGATGTTTCCAAGACAAAGAAAAAGAATCATTCCAAATAGATAGGAATTGCTATAAATATTGAACTTTAAATTCTATTTAATAATCCTATTTAAATTAAATAACTATTTCTTAAAATGCTAAAGTTTAATTGATTAATATTTTATTTAAATTTAAGAACATCTTACAAAATAATTAGTAATAGGGTATGGCCAACAATTACTAAATAGTTTTAATACTTTAAATTCTCTCAAATCTTTGTCTTAAAGGTTCTTTAAATAAGATTATTGATATATCTATTGTTGATTCTCTCTTCTATTCTAACTTTACCATCTTTTTATAATTTTCAAATTATTCTATGCTATTTATCGTTAATGAGTCTTCATATAAACCTTTAATTATTAATTATATAAAAATGTACTCTTATTTTTGGTCATACTTTTTTAAACCAACTATTACACATTGCCCTTTACTTTTGCTTCTTTTTTATCCCTTTTAGTGATATGTTAAGAATTATCTTTGTTTTTAGTTTGGTTAACTCCATTTCTTGAATAACTCATTAGATTATTTTATTATCTTATTTTAATATCTCTTCTACAAGACTCATCATATATCGATTAATATAATTTGCATTTTAAAAAATCAAAATCTAGGTTTGAAAATAATATAATTTTTCATTTAACCATAATACATTTCCTCCCTTTCTTCTATATTCATATATTTGCAATCATCTCCTACAAGTCTCTCCTAAACAGATTTATAGAAGTTAATCACATGTGGTTTTTAATTCTCCTTCCTCATAAACTAAATAATCATACACTACAAAATTACATCTAATATCTCATTAATTGGCACCCATCTATAATCCATCAACTCTTATTCACATATCTTTATCTATTATTCATCTAAACATTTCAATTTAAATGCAAAGTATAAATCAGTCTTTCCAAATCTAGCATCATGCATCTCTCTAAAATATAATACATCCTCCACTTTACACTATTATTATATATATATATATTAATTATTACATCTAAATTTGTTTCCTCCTTCACTTCTCTTAAAACTGCTTATATTATTGATTCCTTTTTATCTACTAACCCCCCTGGAGTTCCCCAAGCTCCTTTTCTTTACCCATTCTTTTCTTATACAAGTAATACACAATTATCCTTAACAACTATCCCACCAACACCAACATAATGAGTTGCTTAACTTGGCAATCTGCTTTCACAATCTGGAAGCCATTTTGAAAATTATAATATATTTTCACTCACTCTATGCATCTTAAATCCTTATTCAATTAAGGTCTACATATAGATTATTTTATACAGGAGCTAAACGCAATTAATCCTTTTATAGGTCAATCCAAATTGCTGTGTTATTATTAGATTTACTCCTTTCTATTAAATCGATTAGATGTTATTTAAACAATGTTGGATTGTTTATGTATTATTATAGATTGCTCTTTCTGATATGATTTGCTTATTTACATATGACATCCTTTGTATGAATCAATTATCACGTTATCAAAATTACTTATTTTACTAAATGAATGGGCAAGCAACATTGCACTCATAATTTTTTTCATTTTTTTTTAATATTTATTTATTATTACAATAGTACTTATAAACCTCAAAATAAATAGATAAGTAAATGATTTATTCTTATTAATTGTAAATCTTTTCCATTTCTATACTTAATTTTTGTTTAAATTATTCATTTTTAAATCTAGAATTACTTTGAAATTCATCAATCATATTGAGTCTTTCATTTAATAAAAGCAATTCCTATATAAATTTATTTGCATTATAATAATGGTTATATAAATCCAAAGAACAAGTATTATTGCGTAATAATAAATAAAATAAGATCTTTTATAAATAAGAAAATTAATGGAAGAATAACGCAAGAGATTGAACTCTTCAATGACGTATGAAGAATATTTAAACACCTTTGAAAAAGCACCAAAAAAACCTTGTTTAAAACCAAAATAAGAACCAGATGTTGGAATGGATGATTTAGATTTGCTTAGTGATACTTAAACAAATATAGTAAGTAAAAGCTCTATAATCTCATAGCCTTAAGTGAAAAACAAAATATACTGCGATCCAAACACTGTAATTTAAGAAGTTGAAGAAGATGGTAAAACACCTATAGTTTGGGTAGATTAATAATTAACACCCAGCCCAATGAAGACAGTAAGGTAAAGAACATAAAGCGAGAATATTTAATTTACTTTTATAAGTTTTGTTGAAAGAGAAATTGAGAGAAAGGGATCACGAAAGTTTGAATGAATAAATTTTGTGCTTAAATATTTTTATTATTTATGAATAGTCCTTTAAAGGACAGACAAAATAAATTGATTTGCATTAAAACTCTTACCACTCCTATATATGTAAAATTCAAATGATGTAAAAATCAAACAATTTAAGTAGAATAAGAATGAAATACTTTTTAAATGATAAACCTAATATTTACTGAAATAAGAGTAAATTAAGAACTTAAAATTTGTTACATAATTATTCTCATTTAAACTTCATCCATTTAAAAAAAAGTATCATTATGATCTATGTTATCAAACTAAATCAATAATTTTATCTATTTTTACATTCAAATAATAAATGCTAATCCATTTTAAAACACCTAATTTTATTAATGTAAATTTAATCAGACTATTATATAAGAGTTTTAGAATAGTTTAATTGAGTTTTCAAAATTTAAAATTATAATAACATTACTAATTTTGAAAGTATCTAAGATAAATTAGCTTAAATTATATGCTAACCTTCTATTTTCAACAGTAAAAAGATATTTATTTACACAATGAATAATCTATTCATAAAATAAGTTAACTTTTAATTGATGCGTGTTGTCTGCAAATAGGACATGTCTTTATTTAATTAGATGATTAATCTAACCATTAAATTATACATTCTTTATGAAATTTATGTTTTCCTTAACACAAGTAATAAGCGATGAGATCTTTGAATTTGAAGTATTCATGACATATTGGACATAGCTCTTTATTAATTTCAATATGTTCATTCAATTATTAAATTTCAATGATTTTTTTTAATTACTCTTCTAATATGGACTTCTCTAATTTCTTATCTAAATATATTTTGATTGATTGCTTAACTACTTGAATATAAAACAAATAATTAATTGTAATTCTAATAGTATATATTATTCATATTACATTACATAATTGATTTCTTCATCTTAACTAGTCATGGAATTTTTAAGAAATTAAAAATATGCTAAGAAATATAAAATTTCTAGCAAACATTATAATTCATTCATATAAAAATTCAAATCAAAATTTAAAAATTGTTCCAATTAACTTATAAAATCTCTTTTGTTCTTTTAATTTAAAGTGATTAGTTAAGGTATAATTAAGACATAAAGTATTGATGTACTTAAACTTAGTATAAAAATAAAAAATAAATATGAGCATCTAAACCATGCCAAAGTGAATGGCAATTTTCCATTTATCAGATTATCGAGATAATATTAGCAAAAGACAGTTCCTTAAATTAAATTCAAAGTATGAAGCTGTATCAAGTACCATCTAAACTGTTTTGGTGCTAATTAAAGGTTTTCGTAATTTAACATAATAAATTATTAAATTTCATATATTAAACTATATATCAAATAAAAATGAATAGAAAATATTTCCAAAAAATAAATTCTAATAGTTATGATAAGTTTTATACAATATTTAATTCAATTTTATATCTATAATTGTTATAATTTAAGCTGACTGAAGTTTTATTTGATCTTTATCAAATGATATTTATTGCTTAATCCTAATTTTTAGAATTTCAGATTTTTTGTTAAGGAAAGTGAAATCTATTCAACAGATTTGTCTTTAGAAGCATTATTAATAATATCTTTATTTTCAAAGATATTACTAAATATTCTTTTCTTCTCTTGATCATTATGAGGAAATTTCATAGATTTACCACATAAAACTAATTAACTTTAAATCATCTCATGTTCATTTCGAATTTAACTTTCTCGAAGTATGAATTTTTTATTCTCACAATTAATTTTTTATTCTCTTGTTTTTGATGAAGTTAATACAATATTTTTCAAATGATTTAAGATTTCACCTTAAGATTCTATACCTACTGAATTGCCTATATAAGGTTCTTTGTCAGTCTAAAATCCATCTTAAAATGTTCTTGAATTTCTGCCTTCATTTTCTTATTTGCTCAATCTCATTTTGTGAAATATATTTCTTTTATTTTATTTTTATTATTGTCTTATTGGTAAACGATGTACTGAACATATTATTTATTTCTCAAGAGTAGATGATATTTATTAATAATTTTTAAAGTAGAATTTTGTAATTCTTTTATTAAGAGCATAATTCTAATCATTTAATATTTTCCAATATTTTTCATACCTAAATAAAGTTATTTCTTGTGTGCTTTCTATTGGAATAAATACATTTTTTGTCTTTGTTAAACAACAAACATAGCTTTTAAAACCAGATGTTAAATATTCCTTTGTAGATTCATCTAAATTCATTATATCATATGGGTCATTTTTTTAGGAAAGTTTATTGAGCAAATAATAAGTTAAATGTATATGATTTAAGTAATCCAAACTCTAAATAGGATCTTAACAAAACTTCTCATTTCTATTTGTTATTAAATCAGTTCTAAATGATATAAATTAGGATACTATAATGGCTCATTTCTATTTATGGATTTAACTAAAGAATCAATCTAACGAACTAGCCTTTCTTTCTATAGATTGATAATTATTTATATTATTTCTGTAGAACTCATTGCAGTATTGCCAGCTATTTTGAATAATTAGTTTCTTTGCATTGGTAAAAATTATTTTCTTTAACTGAATATTGGAAAATATAACTATTTACATGTCTTAATACTTGCAATTTTTAGTAATAATAACCTTGAATTTTTATATATTTTTTCACTAGTTTCATTAAGAATTTTCTAGGTTCAGAATAATTTAATAATGTTTGTGATTCTATTTAAATTCTTCTCTACTCTACTCTCAATATCTTGTATTATAATTTTTACACTAAATTCAATCGATCATTACTAGACATTGAATTTATCTGAGCCTCTAAAATTTAAAGGTGAAATATATATTCTTATCTGCTTGCTAATATTAAAATTATAGAATTCATTATATATTTTATTAATATTTCTGAATAATAATCACAAAAAAGCAATACGAAACTTTTTTATTAGATATCTATTCTAGATTCACAAACTATTGATTATATATATATACACAATATAAATTTAACTTTTAATTAACATTTAATATTTTGTTAACATAATAACTAATGGTAATTTGAATGTCTATATAAATAGCAAAGTGAATATCCTGAGAGAGCCCAGCCCTTAGCTAATGAAGAAGTAGAACCTTAAATTCTAGAACTTGCATAATAAGCAGCTGCCTTAAAATAAGTAATCCTGTTTACAATTAATAGTTAAAAAAAGGTGCCAATGAAACAACCAAAACTTTAAATAGAGGTATTGCAGAATTAGTCATAATTGCTGCTGATACAACACCATTAGAAATTGTTCTTCATTTGCCATTATTATGCGAAGACAAGGTATTCTAAATATTGACCAATAATAGAATGTCCCTTATGTTTTTGTAAAGAGCAAAGTAGACTTAGGCAGAATGTGTGGTACAAGTAGAAATGTTGTGGCATGCTCAATTATCAAGGATAAAAATTCAAGAATCAATTAAAATATTACATACCTTAAGGATTTGTGTGAAAGACTCCAAATAAATTAAGAAGCATGATCATTATAAAATATGTACATTAAAAATTGATCTAATACTATGTAAATTGCAATAGAAAATAAAATTTTCTTTTTTTAATTATTATTTAATTGTATTGTGATTATTTTTTATCTATTTTATAAATAATATGTGAATTAGTGATATTAAACTCTATAATAATAAATTTGTGATCAACAAAGTATTGATATATATTTATTATTAATTTTAAAATTATATTCCCATAATAATAACTAAATATATCTAAGAATTGGATTACTATTTATATTAAAATAAATTTATGAAAATTTTTTTGGTAAGCTCCAATTCTTATTTAATTATTTATTGTTGTTTGAAGTTCTCAATTTTATTAATAAAGTGGAAGTATTACATATAAAGATATTGATTGTCAAGTTAGAACTCTCATTTTATGAAACTCGAGCCTTATTTCAGCTCATTAAACTACATGACTATGTCAACTTGTAATGTTAATTTGATTAGAATTTAACTGCCAAAACTAAATAATTATATTAATTAATTGAATAGAATGTTAACACAAAGTGTTCAAGGTTAATTATTAGGCCCTAGACCAAGTGTAGGAGTCGGTTAGAATTTCCAAATGGGATATGGGATGATTTAACCAAATTTTGGACTGTAATCATAAAATTCTTAATAAACGTTTATGCCTTTAAGTAATCCATTGCCATACCCTGGTGTTGGGTAATTTAATGGATAAATGCCATTATAATTTTCAACGCCAAATTAGGGATAGGTCTCTTAGCACTTGAACAATTATTAATAACAGCCAATAGTTGCTTAAAATTTAATTTATTCTCAACCATAAATCTAATATCAATAATAGCTTTATTAACCTCCTCCATTATAAATAACATAACCAGCCTAATTAGAGAGGAAGGTTAATTATATTCCTTAGAAGAAATAAATAATAAAGATGGAAGAGTAAGAAATTGAGGAAATAGTTCCAGTTGAGAGAACAATTTTAGAATATATTCCTGTTTAAACAATTATAGGTATGAAAAATAATGTAAATTATAGAGAAAGTACCAATTCCTGTAGAAATTCCTTATGAAGTTATGATACCAAAACCTTATTAATAAGAGATTAAGTATCCTAATCCACAAAACTAATTTTATACAGATGATATGGGAAATCCACCTAAAAATTATGATGATTTATCCAAAAACAAATTCCCTTCTACAACAATTACTAGCTATTAATAGAAAGAATCAAATAATAACGATGATGAAGATGATGACGATGCTGATGATGATGATGATGAAGAATAGATTGAAAAATATACTCGAATTATTGAGGAAATTAAATAAAGGAGAAGACGAAGAAGACAAAGGTAAGGTTCAAGTTCAGATGATGAAGATTATTTCGATTTTAGTTCATAATCAAAATTATATGGAAATTAAGGAAATAGAGGTTATGGTTATGGTTATGGTTATGGAAATTAAAGATAATCACAAACCAGAAATAGTAGGGGATATCATGGAAGAGATAAAAGTGCTAAAGATTATTTAAACTAAAGAATATGAGAATTATTTATCACTTTAATATTATTTATTATTTAATGGAGCTTGATTTCCTTTCACCTAAGGCAAAAGAAATAAACAAGAAAAAGTTAAGTCTATTGTGTTCATTGAAAAATTAGAATATTGAATGCAATGATCCAATTAATGAAAATGTTTCCTTTATTAAAAAACTTACTATAGATCATCCATTAAATGAGATTATAAAAGAATGTCAGAATAATGTAAGAGAGGGTTTCTTAACTCCATTGACTAATGTAAGATTTAAATATAATTTAAGAGGTCTTCCATTTCGATTGAATTTACTGCGAACATGTTTGTTGAAGAAATATTAGATAGTATAAAATTTAAGCATCTAAAAATACTGTAATTGGATGAACTAATTAATAATTTAAAAAACAACATAGAAATTATCCAATAAATAGAAATTAAATAGTAATCACAAAATCTCAAAGAACTTTGTGAAATCCTAATACTTAATTAACCTAACGATGATAATTATTAATTGTACTTAGATAATCAAAAATTATACCCAAAATAATGGCATTCTTTCCCATTTGATGCCAAAAATAAACTAAATTTTGTTTTATTTACTTAATAAAATAAAATGTTGGAATTTATTTCATTTGACATGATCTATGTATCATAATATAGTTAATCACTAGTAAATTGGCAATAATTGTGTGAATATTAAATAAAATGAATACCATCAGATACTCCGTATTAAATTTCTAGAGGAATCAAATGATCCAATTATATATGAGTTACAGTAATTCTAAAAATATTATTATAGGATTTCAATATATTTCAATATGACTAATGATTTAAAAAAAAAGATGATCTAAACTTTGAAAGAAGAAATTTAAGAAATAGATCATAAAATATTAGATATGATAGAGGTAATAAATAGAATGTTGGAGCCATTTTCTAATAATGGATTCAAATATTTAAGATATTAGGGTATTATCGATAATGATACCATGTTCAAAAATAGAAATCACTGTTGTAATATTTTCTGATTATATAACAACTATGTCTTATTTATCAAATTTGTTGTTATAAATTATATATTATCATATATGAGATTTATAATAAAGTTCTAATAATCCTTTTTCTCATCAAATATTATTAAAAATAAATTATTTTAATTAAATAAGTATATAAATTAATCATATAAATAGACAATAGACACATTAAGAAATATTCAAGATATTTATAATGAGAAAATATCATTCAATACAAGGCCAAAGATTATTAGATTAATTAATTATTAAATCTTTATATATTTAATTATTTATATATAGCACATCAAAGTATCATACTAAAATAATCTTTAGGCTATTAAAAATTATATTAATGAGACTTATTCATTTTAATTGAAATATTTGACTAATATATAATTAAAATAATAGGTAAAATGAACTTTTTATATTTATATCTTGTAGTATACTATAATTATCATAAGATTATGATTCAGAAGTCATTTATTATTTTAATTATTTATATTATAAAATGAATTATCAATAAGAGAAAAGAAATTCAGTAATAAGATAAGATAATGTGAGAGCCTCTGCTTCATAACCAATTTAATCCCCTTAAAAATAAGAAGTTGTCTAAAGTAATGAAAGACATACTGGGTGCATTGAGAGGATGAAGATACTCACTCAAGAATTGCAACGAATGACAGAAGCTCTTAGATAGAAAAACTAAGATGTAATGTATTTGTAATAAGAATTACAATATGGTAAATAAAATTAGGTATAAAATACAAATATTGATATATAGTAAAATAATCAAGGCAATGAAGACTTAATCCAAAAATTACAATTGGAAAGATAAAAGTTAGATTAATTTAAATAAATGAAGGATTAACAATTAGGTGAATTAGAGGCAGAACTAAATAAAGTGCATAAAGAATTGAAGGATGAAAGATTATAAAAGCTTGATTATGTTAATCGCTATTAAAAACAATGTGATGAGGTAGTACGATTGTAAAAAGAACTCGAAAAAGCAAATTAATATTCAATAAAACCAAATGAAATTGATTAATTACATGCACATATTGATGATTTACAACATGAAAATGATGAATTAAGATCAAAGATGAATAGTCTCTCAAATAAAGTTTAATAATAATAACAACAAATTGCCATTCTAGAAGATTAACTCACACAATAATAATCATTCCAACCATCAAAATTACCGCCATCTGGACCTACTACTTATTAAATGCCTTAGACATAATATCAATAATAACTCCAACCTCAAACCTCAAATTATTAAAAGACAACTACTTATACTGTAGAAAGTAAAGGAACTAACAAACCAACTGAAGTAAGGAAATAAGTAGTCTCCACAGTAAATGGAAAAACTGATGTATATGAATACTCTTCTGCATAAGATCCACTAAATCCTAGGGAGTCAATAAGTTCTAAATTGGATTAGATTAATTAGAAAGTTAACTAGACTTATGAAGTGAGAAATTCACAATTACAAAATAATACATCTGCTTCTTAATTATAAAGAGGATCTAAATATTTACCTGAAACATACTAAAAAGAATTCACTGATCTCAAAAGCAAAATTGAAACTAAACCTATAACAGAATTTAAAACAACAACTGTTACCAAATCCAATAATAAATATTAATAATATTGAAGAATATTAAAAATATTCAGTATATATTTTATCAAATCATCATTTTATATAAGGTGATTAAATTTTACTAATGTTTCTACTTGTAAGAAATCTATAAGATAGACTTCTAGATTATTTTGCCTTAGGAGTAAAAAATCCATTAACTAATTAAAATTATTTAGGATATTCATATGATGTTCTTGTTGAGGTTTTTATTGGTGAAGAGTATACTAATGTGTTATTTGTAATAGAAAGAGCCTTTTTATTTGGTGAGATCAGAAGGTATTAATTCTGATTATTATATATATGATTTTGAGTAGAATAAGATTGATTTTTATCCATTCTATAAATATTAATTGTTTGAGGTTATTAAAGAGTCTATTATTGTGGTTGATATAAGAGAATTGGTTATTTATGGATCTTTACTTTAAATATTTAAGAAATATTTGGTCTTTTTGAATCGTCATATTATAATAAGCTAACTACTATATTTATCAAAGATTAAGAATAATATTGAAATGCAGATCCCAATATATTTAAAATTCGCTAATAATGTATAACTTCCTTATAAAAGTCTGTATACATTGTTAGATCTTAAAATTATTTGTAAAATATTACCTTTACCACTCATTATAGATACTAAAAGTATTCCAAACGAATAAGAATCCTATTTGAAAGGATTTATTTATGAATATGTTGACTGATTTTAATAATCCTTCATCTATTAAGGACTTAAAGAAATGTTCGAATTATAATTTCCTAACGTTTAAGCATAAATGGATAATAATTTTGGTAGAGCCCCATGATACTATTTTTAAATTAGGTTATACTAAAATTTTCACATTATGAGCTTAATCAAAAAAGAGACTATCAAAGTTGATATTGGAGTGATATTTATTCTTACTATCTAGATAAGAAAATACAATCGAAATTTAAGTGATTAACTTATAGAAATATTTTAATTACTTTCCAAATAAAAGACTCTTTAACATATTAGCCTTAATATTGATGATCTTTAATGACCATTGATAAATTGGTTGGTAAAAATTCATAATAAATTCTAAATTCTTTAATTATTCCTTAAAATGTTTGCTCTTTAATTGTACAACCATAATATTTCAATAAATATTCATGTTACATTTATTTTCTTTAAGCATGTTAAGAATGTATTAAATGACAATCAATATCAATCTAAGAAATCTTATCTTGCTTAAAAACAATTTATACTTTCGAAAATATCCACTCTTGTGGATTTAATTTATTTTTCCATAATTGAATCTATCCTAAATACTTATGTTACTTAGAGTTAACATAGGTAATTTTATCCTTTAATATATTGGATTATAGGTAGTCTTCATTTTCTAACACAATGGTATTTCCCATTTTGAATTTTAAGTTAAAATATTATTTAATTTAAACCGAAAAAATTATTGAGAATAAAATATTATTTAAAATAAAGAGTTATAGCTAAAATTGTTCAATCTACCTTCTATTAATAATCTACTAAATTAGATTATTTTTAGTTGATTTTTTTTTCATTTCCTCCAATATTTCAAATTCATTAATATATATATATGGCTAAATTTTTCAAGTCACTGTTTCTCATATATCCTTCACTCTATCTTCATTCACTACCCACTAAAAGTTAAAAAGGTTGTCCTTACAGAGAATATTAAGGTTGAAAGAAACAAATATCCTAAATTTATTAATTCACTCATAACTTCTATTATTCTCATTTTCCCTTTCAACAAATATACTTTTGAGATTTGTTGTAATCAAACCAAAACTGTATTCTTTGACTGACATATATGATTGTTAATATTTGAAAAACATAGGATAAGTTCATCTAGATTCACTAATCTATAATGATGTCCTACCAGCTAACGTGATTTTATAAAATAATAAATATTATTATTTATTGTACATTTATTGATGGTTAAGCAAGCTAACAAATTTGAGGTTATTCATAAGTTTCATCATAATCAGATATCTACAATTAATTAATATTTATTACTTCACTACTTTCTATCTAATTTAATAAAAAAATTGAAAAAAATTAGTACACTATAGCCAAAAACTAAAAAGGTTATCATAAAAACTTGAATTGATTAGTGGGCACGGATATTGAAGTTTAATGAATCATAAAATTATTAAATACTGTTGACCCAAAAGTAAAAAAAAATAAAAAGCGAATAACAAAACTAATCAAATATTAAGCTTAGAGGCAAGAACACTGGAACACATCTCTAATTTACTCTAATTTATTTAACCTCTTCTTCCAAAAAGCTAAAAACCTGTTGGGATTTCTACTCTATGCTTTTAAGATTGTTGCATTTTGTTAATAAGTTCGAATAGTCGAAAATTATCAAAGAAAAATACCTTCTAAATCTTAATAGAGGGCAATAAATGATCGTCAAATAAATTCTTGAATTAGTAAAAATCCCAAGAAGTATTCTAGATAGAAATTTGAAATATTGAGTTTTTTTAGTTACTTAAGATGGAAACTCTAAACATAGTCATCTTTCTGAACCAATATGCATAATTTAAAATAAATTTTCTCACTAATTTTCTAAGTTAATAATTTATTAGCATAAATTACAATTAAACTAAGATTGAATCATCTATTCATTCATTTTTTAGATGAACCTAAGCTTGAAAGGTGCTAAAAAAAAGCAGTTCTTTAACTATTTTAACTAAGAAAAATATGCTTAATTAGAATTCATATCTGTCTGATTTGGTGGAATAAACCCACGATTAATTCTATTTAGTGCAACTTTTAAAACCTATTTTTTGTGAATGGTTAAATTCTCAAATATATGTAATTACATTTAGATTTCATAAATAGTAATTATTAGGGTAACAGAATGATTTTATATAATTTTTAGAATAATTTTAGAATCACATAATGTTATAAAAGTAAACCGAAATGTTTAAGTGTGAAATTGAATTTAAAACTAATTCAATAATCCAAAATTTGAAAATAAATTTTAACAGTANTTTATTGATGGTTAAGCAAGCTAACAAATTTGAGGTTATTCATAAGTTTCATCATAATCAGATATCTACAATTAATTAATATTTATTACTTCACTACTTTCTATCTAATTTAATAAAAAAATTGAAAAAAATTAGTACACTATAGCCAAAAACTAAAAAGGTTATCATAAAAACTTGAATTGATTAGTGGGCACGGATATTGAAGTTTAATGAATCATAAAATTATTAAATACTGTTGACCCAAAAGTAAAAAAAAATAAAAAGCGAATAACAAAACTAATCAAATATTAAGCTTAGAGGCAAGAACACTGGAACACATCTCTAATTTACTCTAATTTATTTAACCTCTTCTTCCAAAAAGCTAAAAACCTGTTGGGATTTCTACTCTATGCTTTTAAGATTGTTGCATTTTGTTAATAAGTTCGAATAGTCGAAAATTATCAAAGAAAAATACCTTCTAAATCTTAATAGAGGGCAATAAATGATCGTCAAATAAATTCTTGAATTAGTAAAAATCCCAAGAAGTATTCTAGATAGAAATTTGAAATATTGAGTTTTTTTAGTTACTTAAGATGGAAACTCTAAACATAGTCATCTTTCTGAACCAATATGCATAATTTAAAATAAATTTTCTCACTAATTTTCTAAGTTAATAATTTATTAGCATAAATTACAATTAAACTAAGATTGAATCATCTATTCATTCATTTTTTAGATGAACCTAAGCTTGAAAGGTGCTAAAAAAAAGCAGTTCTTTAACTATTTTAACTAAGAAAAATATGCTTAATTAGAATTCATATCTGTCTGATTTGGTGGAATAAACCCACGATTAATTCTATTTAGTGCAACTTTTAAAACCTATTTTTTGTGAATGGTTAAATTCTCAAATATATGTAATTACATTTAGATTTCATAAATAGTAATTATTAGGGTAACAGAATGATTTTATATAATTTTTAGAATAATTTTAGAATCACATAATGTTATAAAAGTAAACCGAAATGTTTAAGTGTGAAATTGAATTTAAAACTAATTCAATAATCCAAAATTTGAAAATAAATTTTAACAGTATATGAAATTATTTTTATTGTTCACAAAATGAAAATGAATTATGATAATTAAAATAATTTAATTTGCCCCTTTTAATTAATGAAGCCTTCATAATAATTGGATGACTGAAAAAAAAGATTTAGTAAATGAAGAGCATACCTTATTTGATTTATTAGATAAACATAATTATAATTGAAAAAAGTGAAATGTAAATTTCTATTTTAATAATTTGATAAAAATTAAAATGTTCGTTTTTCTAATAAAATAATATTAAAAATAAATATATAATATAATTGTTATACTATTCTAAATTATCTTAAATTTTATTTAGAATATGATAATTATTCTAATAAATTAATGAACATTTCAAATTTGTATAATTTGTTTATAACAAAATATTTTACAATTAAGATGTAAAATGTTCATCATATGGCTTTAAAATTTATACAAAAAAGTTTTTTACAGATTAATTAGGATTAGAGAATATAATAGTTATTAATGATAAATTGGTATAAAAATTAAAGAATTTTCAAGGTCCTAGCATTATACAACAAAACCAATATGCCAAACCTTTGCTTCTATCAAATGGTTCATATAGAAAAGATTCTGAGTCTATTAGAAGCTTTAAAGATGGTAAAAGACAGTGTGTTGCCCCCCAAAAACATAAATTAACAATTATTAATAAAATTGAAGAATCATACATAGCTCCTTCCTTAAAATAAGTTTAGAATTACCACATAATAAATTTTTTTATTTTATTTGTATTCGTGTATGGCAGTTTAACATTCTTCATTTGTAATTGTAATGATAGCTTAAATTGCCATTAATAATAAACCAACCCAAGAGAGAAGCCTAGTCAAGACGGCAAAATTTCTTACGTAAATACCTAAACAAGCCCAACACATATCTTCAGAATAAATTATATAAAAATACTTAAATTTCCAAATTTTTCACTTGGCATTTTACCAAAACAATAAATACCAAGCATAGCTAAGAAAATTAAACCTATCACACCACAATAAAGTAATATAATTATAAATGGGAGTGTAACCTTTCTTATTTTAATTAGATTACTAATGAATTTGCCATAGAAGTATCACTCACATTTGAATCAGCGGTTGTAGTATTATCAGTTGTAGTAGTATTATCTGTAGTAGTAGTATTATCTGTAGTAGTAGTGTTATCAGTTGTAGTTTATGATGCTACCAAATAATTGATTTATTCTAATGATTAATCAGGATCATAAAAAAGTAAACGTGCACTTGTATATTCAATAGGTGGGCAAATGTCATATGTATAAGTAGTGTAAAACAATAAATCATAAATAATCAGACCTATAAAGACAACAACAATAAGACAATAGTATGATATTAATCCCATTTTGATAAAATTAATATAAAATCAAAACAAATTTTTAAGCATTTATTTATCATAAAACTTGGTTTTACTTATATTTGCAATTTTTTCAAAAGTAGCATCTTAACTTAAAAAGTTTTGAGGTGAAACTTGTTATTATGTGAAACTGATAGCTTAATTTCTATCTTATTGAGATTATTAGATGCTATATTATCTCTCACGAGATAATCTTTTATAATCAATTGAAGGTCTTCCTGTAAGAGATGTTATTCTCCTTCTATTTTTGATAGATAACAATTCTTAATGTTATGGTGTTGTCTCTTATTTTGATTGCATTTATTGTTTAGAATATGGGTTTTTGAGAATTATAACAACTGGTTTGTTTGATTAAGTGGTAAATTAGTTCTAAAACATGGTATTTCTAAATAAAATAAAAAATTACTTGTTCGAAACTCTAACATGATAAACCTACATCTTGCCTAAGATTTATTATAAAGAAATATCAGTTTATTAAAATGAGTTTGTTAAACCTTCCTATAATGGAACATCTTGATAGTTAGTTATAATTTCTTAAATGTTTTAAAATCCAAGAATATCAGAGTTAGGTTTTCTGATGGATTTAACTTATTCTTCAATTCTTTACAAAACTTTCTCTTCTAACATAAGATTTTAATAATGTTAAATGTCAGTTTAAGATGCCTTGTCAATTTTGTTTAACTTTTTCTTGGTCTATATAACTATTTTGTTTTATTTCTTTTAATCAATAAATGAAAAGAGTTCTTATTCTTAAAGAACATCTTCTTCTGGATTTGAATCACTTCCTGAATCATCTTCACCTATTTAAAGTTAACTTAAATCACAATATTTTATTAAATTATCTAATTCATCATTTTATTATTAGGTTAAGGCTCTAGGCAATATGCTAGATTTTACCATTGAATTTTCAAATAATTTAAATATTGATAAGGCAACATCTTCACCTAATTACTTATATGAACATTCAGTAAAATCTTGAGGTCCTAATTTTCGAAAAGCATGAAAAGAGATCTCCAGGGTGTAAGTGAAATAATTTTTGACTTCTTATTATAATGCTACTCTTGCAGTCTTTTTCTTGCTTTCATGTATACTAAAAGAACAATCCCTTAGATTAATCATTTTTGATAAATTACAACTTATAAATGGTAGCAATTTTTATTCATCACAAAAACTATTAGCATAATAAAAACTATTAAATCTAAAAAATTAAATTAATTGTACTTTTTTGAATGACCATGAAAATCAATAATTAAATTTAATTCTCCTGATTAATTGATTTATTTAATTAATTCTCTTACATACCAAACAGAATCATGCAATTCTTTATGAGGACTAATCCATATTCTATTGAGATCAGTCCCATAAAGATTACATCGATAATTTCCAAAAACAACTCCATCAGGATTTATCATAGGAATTATATAGAAAGTAAAATTATTCCTCAAGACTTCTGCTTCCATACAATTACTCATCAAAAATTCAATTGTGCCCTCTAAAGTAAATGAACTAGGGGTTTCTCCTGGATGTTATCTAGCCAAAAAGACTATTGCCTTCTTACCATTTCCTATAATAATCAATGGACAGGGCAATTTTGATATTGTTTTACATAACTCTTATACTACAGCAAACTATTTTAATTATTATTTAGTACTTTATTAGGTCGAATTGATCTTTCTATAAAATTATATAATTAGGAATGAGTATAAGGATAACATTAAGCGAAATAAATTTTATCATTAGAATGTTCAAATTTATAACTAAATGAAAGAGTATAATAAGTTTTAAGAGAGCTATTTTCTCTCTTAAATTTATTTCTGAAGTAGTTTATATTATATCCAGCTTTAACCCATCCAGTTCCTTTTAATTTATTACATTTTATAGAAAAAACTACAGGTCTTTACCCCATATTAAATAATGAATCACATTTTGTCTACAAAACTTGATAACAATTTATAAGTTACAAAGTTTATGATATTAAAAGTAACCACACTATTTTTTACTGTGTTTTCTACTGAAAAATAAAACCATTAAGTATTTCCTTTAGTATTTGTGTCATTTTACATCATCAAATCATATTCATTTAACCCAACTTTATATGATGTAAACAAGTTCCCACTTTCAAAATTAGAATCAAATTTAAGTCCATTATATTTCTTACTATCTTATTCTAGATTCATTTATTTTTATTCCTTTTTTTTCATTGTAGAGGGATAAAGGTTTTTATTTAAAATTGATGTAAATTCTGTTAGTCTTATTTCTTTATTTAAAGCCAAGAGTTTTTTGCAATCAAAGAAACATGAGGCAGCAAACCGATGATTATTTAATGGAATCATGGACCATGGATAATTATCAAAGCGTTGATAAATCAGATTATGTTTATTATCACTAAAGTAATCCCACATATTAAATGCTGAATCACTTTCATCATATCCATCTTTCTTCTTTATCTATCCACTTATTCATTTATATTTATACATTTTTAATTTAATGTCAGGATCAGCAGCTTAAACTAAAGGATTTGGAGCAGGAAGTAAACCATAAAATTACATAAGAAAATATATAATAATAATCCATATATTATATAACATGACTTGTTAGAGTTTATTAGATTGAAAAAAATATTAAATTGAGATAATCATTTGAGAATTAACAGCTTCTACTAATTTTTGCATCAATAAATAAAATAAGTAAAATTCAAAACAATAATATATAATCAATATCATTTTTTTAAATTCATAACCTATAAAAGAATATTTTTGTTGGATTACATTTAAAGCCTTAATTAAAATTCTTAAATTTTAAGCCTTTATAAATTATCTTTGCATTTAAGATCTTTATCATCTTTTATAATTATGTTGACTTTTTTTTAAAGAATTTTTATGTATAATTTAATAATTAGTAAAAATACCAATAAAATTTTTGATATTAAAATAATAGATATAAGTACATTCAATAATTTTTATTTTATGGTTACTCTCTTTTAACACAACCTAAAGCTACTAAAATTTTATGCATAAATGATTCATTATCAATTGATTATGATGTTTATGATCTGATTTATTTTCTTTGCAAATCTGAGTTTCTACTGAATCTCTAAACATTCATTTCAATTGATGTATCATTCTATGTTTCGTGAGTCATTATATGATTCCTAATTACTGAAGATTATGATGATGCAGTTGATTTATTGAGGTATTAAGGTTGAGAATGAATTGAATAGGCATTATATGTTTTATTTCGTCCATGTTTGATTTGATTTGAATGATTCTATGAATAAAGTTTAAACCATTTGTGATTTAATATTAATGATAGACTGAGTCTATCTTACTATTTATATGTGATTAAACTCTTTATTAATTCTTTAGCTTCTTTTGTTAATGATCCATCAATTTAATATTGAACTTTGACTATATTCTAACATTTCTCAATATCATTCTTACCATCAAAGGGAGCATGTCCATGTAATAATTCATATAATAATACACCTAAACACCAAATATCTAATGTGTAATCATGAGATTTATCTTCTATCATTTCTGGAGCCATATAATCTATAGTTCCACAAAAAGTATTTCTTTTAACTGATCCTAAATTTTCAGCTGACCAACCAAAATCACATATTTTTACATTATCTTAATAATCTAACAAAATATTTTCAGGCTTTATAATAATGAAAATAATAATACTTTTAAATCTCTATGAATTATATCCTATTGATGTAAATATTATATTCCTAAACAAGTTTACTTAAAAAACTTCATAGCTTCATCTTCGCTAAGTCTTCCTCTCCTTCTTAAATATTAAAACAAAGAACCATGTTCTGCATATTCTAATATCAAATATACACTATCCTTATCTTCAAAATAATGATAAAGTTGAGTGATATTAGGATGATAAAGTTTACGTTGTATTCTTATCTCTCTTTTTAAATTCTCTATAGAACAATACTCAAATATATCTTTCTTGTTAATCTTGTATTTTTTATTTAATATGTACAATCTTCATTGCATACAATTATTCATTAGTTTTGTCTTTTACTAATTTAACTGCTCCAAAACTTCCCTTTCCCAATTATGGATAATCATAAATTAACTCAAATTCTTCTGATGTTCTCTTCATTTGTCTTAAAGTTGAAACCTTATCACTATTAGATATCTCTTGAGAATTAATCATTTTCTCTGGAATACATTATGATTTATGTCCTGAAGTCCTAAACATTTAATTTTTATTCTTACCAGTCTATATCTCTGCATCTTTGAGAACAATAATAAGTCGTTTTACAAAATGGACAATAAATCCTATTTTTAGGGATAGGAACCATCTAACCAATACTTAAGTTATATTGGCAATATCGTGAACTGCAAACGTTCATTTATTTTTAATATATATATATAATCACATAATAATATTTCATTTTTATAATGTCAATTTTATACTCTTCACTTGAAATACTTAAAACCTATTCTTTTTGTATCATAATATATCATTTCTTTAAATTTATATATAAAGATATAATTTTTGATCATTTTTTTATTTATATAAATAAAATCTGATTTATCAATAGTTTTATGAAATTTGTAAAATTTTACTCACTTCAGCTAAATCAAATGGTAAACTTATATATTGATCTATTCCATATTTATAATATTCAATTTTTGAATGATATTCTACTAATCCTGTTGTACCTATAATATGTCCTTTTTAAGTCATTTTATCTTTAATCTATTTACTTAACCATAATCCTCCTTTCTTTGGCAAATCAACATTTATAAAAAATAAAACAAAACTAGAATTTCCACATTTACACTTCTTTTTAGTTTCTATCATCTTTAAAACTTCATCAGTGCTAAAAGCCCTTGATGAAAGTATTTTAAACTTTGTTAAAATCATTTCTAAAATCTAGATATTTTAGAATTCATAATCAGCAATCAATACTCTAGAACAACACTTTCCAGTAGTTGAAAATTTAATAATTTCTCCTTACATTTTTACAGGTCTTGAAACAGGTATTTATATTTATGAAGGTGCATCTACTCCAAAATCAAGATATAAATTTGAAGAAGTTGGTTATTTAATTTCACTTATTTATTATTAACTTATAAATGTTTATTCTCTCTCTCTTCCATCAATATTCAATGTATTTCCATAAGCTACACTATTATTATTTATACTATTATTAATGGTGGCATCAGGAAAATGAGGTAATTAATATTTTGATTAAGAAGGTGTTGTTTAATAATTTAATCTTTAGAGATGCTTTGTCTCTTCATCTTAATGAAAAATACAAGATGTTTAATCAGCTTTAAGTTTTGATATTTATGAAAAATAATTACTTTGATATTCTGAATACTTCTAACTAAATTGTTTAGATATTCTTGATTATGAAAAATGAAGTGAATGATCCATAGATACTTTATTTGATTCTTCTCTAAACAAAGTATATGTTTTATCATTCTATTTTGATGTATCTTGCATAACTAACATTTAGCTAAGAGATGTTTCTTAATAGTGAGTTCCACTTATCAATTTAATAGCTTTCATTTCTTCATTATTTAAATTGAATGATTAAATAATAAAAGTTATTGCTGTACCTTATGGTTCTGCAAAAGAGATATCTAATCCTTTTTTTGCAGTTCCAGATAAATATTATGCTAATATATGACAAATATTGAATTCTGAAAAAGAAGGTGTCGGTTTTTTTAGATTTAGTTTAAATTAACGTAAATCCTTATCATCTATATTAATGGGAGTGTAGATGATAACCTAATAATTTTTTGAAGCTAACATTTTCCAAGTAATAGTTATATTTTCATCTTTTGTTTGTATGATAAAATACCTAATTAAGGGTAACATCAATTATTTTAACTAAATATCTAAGAAATTTACAATACTCTTTCTGCATCTGAATCTATTGTTTCTATTGATTCTTAATCTATTTTAATTTCTATTCCCTTAGCTCTAGCTGAATCCTAAACCATGATAATCAGATCTTCACATATTGTACTTATATCAATAGTAGATACTTTTAATAAAAACTTCTTCTAATTATGTAAATTGAAATCCCTCATATTTGCCAATTATAAATAAACAATTACACTTGCTACTCTAATTGGATAAAGATATTTTTCAAATACTAAATCATTTACTATTGTATCTGATTCTGCTAACACAGATATTGTCATAATTGAGTTAAGACTAGGTGTAATGTAAGAACAAAACAAATTAAATGCTTAATAAGAAGTTTAAAACACTATCTCTCTTTATTCAATTTAAACAAAAGCAAAAGTTTTTTTCATTTTTGCTACCAAAAATATTTTAATAATTCTATCTTACATCCATTATACATCTACTTTATTGATAATAAATAGATTATTCTTATATAATTCATAGTCTCCTATAAGTTTGAAAATTAAATCTTTAATTAGAAATTTTGATTAATTGATAGTACCACTACTTGCCACAATATCTTAAAAATCTCTGTTTCCTTAGATTATACCAAGATTTAAGATGACAGCAACACTTTCATTTTCAACAGAGTTACTAAATGAATTTTTAGAAATATCAGCAACATTAAAAGTTTAAATGACTACATTTATTTATTCATCTAAGACTATGAATTATTATCCTTTTATCCAAGCACTTAAAATATCTTGTAATAAATTATTACTATTCTTCAAATATGATGGTATCCATGGATCTTGATAACTCCTTTAATGGAGAAAATCCACCATATACTTAACTTTTAGAATTTAATCCATTGAAATCACATGATCTTTAAAAATCCAAATCTTTTTATGGTAGTGCAGAAATACAAATACCAAAATCTTTATTATTTTCATTTTTATTATTTTCAGGTAATGCTTAAATAGTTTTTATAGATCGAAAAGAGTATATTATTGATATGCAAGTAAAAGCAATAGCAATATTCTTGAAATTATCTTAAAAAGTTTAAACAAAAAATACATTTCCAATTAAAAATAATTATGGAAGTTTAGATAACATTTAGTTTTGTAATTAATCTTAATAGAGAGAGTATATAAATAGTAGGTTTAAAAAGACTGAAAGTATTTCTGCTTAACAAAAATAACTTAGAGTTATTTGTATTGATATTCGAAAACCACTTAAAATTATTAGGATTGTGCTATTCTTTTTTGTACTTTTCACATAAAACAAAACTCTAGTAGTTATTATCATTGTTATCAAATCAATTATCTTAATAATTAATGATTCATTCTTATTAAATGCTAATATTATTTTGAAATTGAGTTTACCTTAATGTTATAATAGTATAATACAGATTTCATAATATATCAATAATATTAATGAGAATATTTCTTCGGTCATAAAATAAACTGCTCTAAAATATTTTTGATTTTATTGTTATATATATATTTATATACTAAGAAGTATAAACTTTAAATAATCATATTCAGTTCACAGCAAATAAAAACTCGGTCATCAATTATTTACCTATTTTTCCAAGAAGATTTTCAAATAAGTTCATAAAATATTATTAATAATTTTTTTTGAGCTATGAAATTGAATACTGTTTTCCAGCTTAAGATATTTTTATATGTGATAATATAAAATTCTGAATATCTACATCTGAAAAATCCATATCAATTATTGTACTCCCATCTAAATTGATACTATAACCTAATTATCCACACTTTTCTTCTGCCAATCTTACATCTTAAGCATACTCTGTTATCTTTTTAATCTTTTCTTTTATTTATTTGCTTAATGGAATCCATCTATAGGTTTAAGGACATAATAATTCACATGGTGTATAATCAGCCTTGTAAGCCATCTTTTTACTATCCATAATATAAAATCCCATATAATAATATTTCAATTAAGGATTCTCTTTCTAATGTTATTTAATGTACTCTATTTCTTATAGAACACCATAAACACCTAAAGAATACTTTTTATAAGCAGGATCATAGAAAAAGTACACTGAAGATAATGATTATGGTAATAAGTCTACAACACCAACTGCTATTAGTTAATTATCTAAATAATATTTCATATGCCAACATCCTAATTCTATACTATCCAAGGCATCAACACAAACAAAATTTAAATAACTTTATTTACTAACTCTTTCTTTATCATGAATAGCTTTTTAATATCTTTTATAGACTTCAAAACTATCTTCTTAAAATTATGCCTTAACCCATTTTATTTCAATTTGATGATTTTTCTTTTCCTTAACTAAATTTTAAGTATTTTAAACATCTGCCTTTTACAAATAGTACAACACTGTTGATTTAAATATTTTTTCTTTTATTGTTTTAGGTGTTTTAATTAAAATTTAATTATCCCATTAAGATACTTTAAATATAAAGTCTATGTTTGATAAATATTTAGAAATTAATTAAATATATTCTTTATTTTCTTCCAAAGTTTAGAATTGTGGATATAAAGATTTAAACTTGGTTTGTAATTTTGAATAAAAATATGGAATAAAATTACATCCAAATCCCCACTCATTTTCAACTTTATTTATTTAACCTCTAAATACAGTGATTTCATAGATTGAAAATTCTTATAAACTTGATCTGAAAAAATTAAGAAGGATATTCTAGTGTTCATCATTAGTAATTAAAAATACTTAAGATAATTCTTGAATTGTAATTTATGATAAATTATTTATAATAATTTATTTGAATTATTTGATATGTTCTTCTTCTTTATATTAAATGCTTTTAAATGTAAAATGTAATCCAACCTTTGAAAGAATGACTAAATCTTTAGTATCAATATCAGTCTATATTTGAGATAAGATGGATTGAGTAAATTAATCTTCTTTTATTTCTGATTTAAGTTAAACTTTTTGATGAAGATCATTAAGATCATTTTGAATAGGTTAGATTCTTTTTATTTTCTTAAGGACCTTCTCATGAGTTACTCTGTGTTTAAAATTTTATGTATCAACTCTTAATGCATAGGCTTGACAACAACTCTGGGCTAGAGCTGGCCTATAATAATAAACTCCACATCTTCTCCAACCTCTATCCATTAATTGTTAATATTCATCCAACTTCATTTTGTAACAATAGAAACCTGATGTAACCCATAGCTTATTAGATTTTGCACCATTACAATAACCGCAATTTGTTTCATTCTTTATGGAAACAGAATTTAACTAGATTATACTACTCATTTTGAGTGTTTACAATTATATATTTTAAATGGAAATTGGAAGGACAAGTTTTGAATTCATTAATAACATCTCATTTTAATATGGTCAATATTGACTATTACTTTATTTTATTTCGCATTAAATATATTATCTAATAATTTATGAAAAAAACATTTACTTTTGCTGATTTAAGTACATCCATTTAATCAGGAATAAGTAATCGTTAAATCTAACAAACAACTTCTTCCACTTAAATACGATCTGCTAGTCTTCGAAAAGCTATTTCCAGACTTAAATAGGAAAATAGAGTTTCTATTATGGGAATCAGTTCAATAACTAATACAAATGTATTAAATTGATTCTCTGTTTTAGGTTCCTAAAAACTAATCATACTTTCAAATCAAATAAGAATAAAAGCATAATAGAATATCTAATCCCTCTTAAGAGCCCCATACAAATATAAATTAATTTGATCATAAAAAAGAAACAATAAGAAAAATCAATTAACTATAATAATATTGTAAAAGTTAAACAGCACTTGAAATTGCTGCTTAGAAATATTCACTTAAAAAGTCATTTAAAGGATCTTCTGATTTATCAACTGTTCCTACTTTAATCGATAAATTAAATAGAGATCTTATAAATAAGAAATCTAGTGTAATTAAAGATGTTATGAAGGAAGAACTAAAAAAAAGAATTCCTAAAAAATAGAAGGAAATTAATTATGAACTGGATTCAATGTTCAAAAATTATTAATCATTCTCTTAATTATGTCTAAATGAAAATAGTACAATTCAAAAAGAGAAAATCTATAATGGATATTTGAAAGTATATAATTCTGGAAAGAATGATAGAATATTCTTAGATAAGATTGAGGAAAGGAAGAAAAGTCTAAGTGATGAATCTGAAGAGTATAGAGCATTTCTTGGAGAAATTGATGAAGCAACTATTCAAAGAGATGTATATAATAATAATATTCGTAATCCTTTTTTGGATGATAAAGTAACTGTTATGTAAATGAAAAAGGATGGATATCTGAAAAGAAGAATCACATAATCTTGATTATATTTGATTAGAATGATCATATTTATTATATTAATTATTCTATTATTATTATAATTACTAAATGAATTATCTATATATCAATAGATATTTATTTATTTCAAATCAATACTAAATATTCATATTACTATAATAAATTATTCTAAATTCTTCAAATACTCTTAAAAATTGTAACAAAATTATCCTAATCTAAATTCAAATTTGATGGTTCTTTTGCATCTTCAGTACCAGTAATACCCATAAAAATTAGATTATTTTAAAACTGGATTTGACCTATATTAAGGAATTGTATGTAATAAAAAAAAAACTTAATATATAAAATATATCTAAGAATATGTTGTCATATTTATTGAAGTTAAAATAAATTTTATTTCTTGTTTGAAGAATAATCCTGATATTAATTGGTGGTTTCATCTTAATCAAATTATTTTAATTTTAAAGAAGACACAGTTTATGATTATTAATATTATTATTACATTTCCTTCATATTTAATTATTACTAAATATCCATAATCACTATACCTATTTTTTAAATTAATTCTAAACAATCACTTATTTTTAATAATTTTATAATTCTTGTTCGTCATTTTAACATCCAAATTAATTGATCCTAATTTATCGTTCCTTCATTTTTTGGTGTAATTATTGTTTTTATGGATTAATCACAAAATGCCCAATATTTGTATTTATTTTATTTGATTCCACTTTATAATTCCTCTTTATATCTTTAATAATTGATATTATAATTACTTGATCCTGTCCAATTATCCTATAATTTAGATGCAAATTCAATAAATCTTTTATATTCTCCAGAATCTTATAATGGATATATTTTAATAAAATCTCCTAGATTGTTATTTTCATACTCATCCCTAAGTTTTTAATATTTTTAAATTTGAGCTTATTTTTCTTCTTAAGTAATTTTTTACTTTTTTCCTGTTAACACTCTCTATTATAATTACTCTCTTCTAGATTAAATAATTTAATTTTTTGCTTTTATATTTACATTCATCAATATTAATGTGTCCCTAATAAGGTTTTTTTTAATAATTGAATCCAAAGGTGTATCAGTTGTAAAACTTGGAGTATGATTTACTTCCAATAAATAAGGTTATAGCTTATGATTTAGAAAAATATCAAAACCTAATATTTCAAAACACATATTATTAGCATAATTATCTGGTTGACATGATTTATAATGATGATTTAAGATAGGTTGAACTGAACAAAATGTTTTAATAAATAATTTGTACATATCTTACCATAACTTTTCTATATTATATCCTTCTTCTTATAATTTACCAAAAACTGATTTAATTGATCTTTTATGTCCAACATCCATTTTTGATACATCATTATTAAAAATAAAATTAGGATTTTCTTTATTTATAGCATAATTAGTCAAGTGCATACAAACATCATCAAGATTACTAGAGGAAGGTGGTACATATGGTTAAGTAGCAAATCTCACTAAACCATCTTGATAAACATATATTCTCAAAGGTTCTGTACCTGCTAATAGTACATATACTCTTAAATCAAACTTTAATCCATCTATTAAAAATGGATTATCTAAATATCGCTATGCTACATAATGATCAGTTGGATCAATATCATTAATGTTTCTAGTTAGAAAAATTCCTCTTCCTTAACTACTAGCCTCTGGTTTAACAATAAATGTCTTAATTTTGCCTTTTGTAAACTAATTTCTAAATTCCCCATAATCAGTTGGTAGTAACCAAGTTAAAGGAAAGAATTTATACTCATAAGGAAATTCTTTCTTCATTTTCATAAGATTTCTTCCTAAATGATTTTTACGAGAAAGTGAGAACATACCTGGAAAATGGTTGATTTTTTGATGAGCTAATAAGATATATATTTATAATATAAACGTTGCATTTTTCCCAATGTTTCTGATTAAACAGAAGCATCAGTCCAAAAGATATCCCATAAATTTCCATCAATTTCATATTATAATTTCCATTTAAATATATTCTTACCAACAAATTTTACAACATCATATTTAGTATCTCTCTATAAAAATTTTAAATTACCTTAAACATTCATTATCAAGGTTGGTTTTCTAATAGACTTATCATCATTGTCGTCATCACTATTTTCTTTAAAATATCCTTAAAAGATAGGCTCATTTTCTTTCTATTTTATTGATGAAAGCATTTATAATAATAAAACAATTAATATAATCATTAAAGACGATTGATTGCTTCTGAAATGGTCTCATCTGTCTTACAAAATGCCCATCTTACTAAATTTTAACCTGTCTCTTTATTTTCGTAGTAAGGAGAACAAGGAATACAAACAACTCCAAATTCATTAATCATATAATGTGCAAATGCAAAATCTCTAGTAACCTTCACATCATTCTAAATAAAATATTTGTTAGGTATATCAATATTTGATATATCAGTTACAACAAAATATCCACCTTAAGGAACCCAATAATTAAAGTTTAATCTGCTTTCTATCAATCCTTTTAATAACTTTGTAGCCTATTATTAATATAAATTTCGAAGAGAATAAAAATAAAGACCATCTGCTGTATAATCTAAACATCTTGCAGTTGCTGTTTAATTTACAGGATTCAAACAAAATATATGATAAGTTTATGCAGCCTTCATTCCTTTAATTATATCTTCATTTCCTATAGCAAATCCAACTCTTAATCCAGTTGCTGAAAACATCTTGCCAGCACTCATGACACAAACAGATTTCTCTTTTAACTTTGGATGAGTGATACACCTAGGATATTTGAAAGGTTCATTATTCTAAAATGTTATATGATGATATGCAGCATCCTCACAAACAATTATCTTTGGGTATTTTTCTAAGATTTCTGCTAATTTATTATATTCCTCATTCTTAAATATTCAAAAATAAATTTATATATATACTTTCCAATGGGATTCATCGGTGAATTTAAAATGATCAATTTCGTTTTCTAATTTATAACTTATTCTAAATGGGTGAAATCTATTTCCCATTCATCATCATTAGTATAAATGAATTACCCATTCTAATATCTTTTCAACATCATTTCTTTGTTATTTAAGACTTTTGGTTTAATTGGTATACCAATATGTTTACCACCTGAGAATTCAATCAAAGGTCTATACAAATCTATTTCTTATTCATATAATAATTACCAAAAGCTGGATCAAATACAATTACTTCATCATTTGGATTTAAAATACCTTGCATTAAGCAGCAAAGTACTGATTAGGCTCCTGAACTCACTACTATTTCTTTGTCTATATTTATTTATAATCCCATTCTTTTCTAAAAGAAAGATGCTGCAGAATTAAGTAATTTAGGATGACCAGCAGTCATAGTATATTATAACTATTCAGTCAAGGCTTCTTCAGAGAGTGCTTCTCTCAAAAACTAAGGAGGGGCAAAGTTTGGAAATCCTTAACCTAAATTAACACATCCTTTCTGATTAGCCAACATTGTAAATCTAGCATACATCTAAGGCTCAAGATAATTAAGCATTCTATTTGAAACATGTTTCATAAGATTGTTGTAATATTATTTATGATAAATATAAAATATAATATCATGAGTCCAAATTAATGGCTTTTGTTAATAACGGTTTATAATTTTCTATTTTATGTGAAACAATAATAACTGTTTTGTCTTGACAAATCTACATTAAAGCTTATATGATATCTGATTCAGATTGACTATCTATATTAGATGTTGCTTCATCTAAAATTAGAATTTTAGGATTCTTTAATATTGCCCTGGCTAATACAATTCTTTATTTCTATCCTCCAGATAAGGAAGTTGTTCCATCTGATTTTAATTTAGTCTAATATTTATTAGGCATATTTTCTATAAAATCATGAGCTCTAGCTAATTAAGCTGCCCAAATAACTCTTTCCAAACTCTGATCATATCCATGATTACCATAGATGATGTTCTCATAAACGGTTGCATTAAATATGATTCCATCCTATTAAACATAAGATACATGTTATTGAATCCATTTAAAATCTTTCTTTGAGAGAGGTTCTCCATCAATTAAAATTTCACCTGATGATGGAGTTAATAATTTTGTCAATAGATTCAATGCAGTAGTTTTTCCAGATCCACTTGGTCCCTATAATAATACTATTTCACCTGAATTGATTTATAAATTGAATGTTAATGTAGAATTCTCATGATTTGGATAGGAATACTGAACATTCTTAAATTAAATACTTGGTGGTGGAATTGAAGAATGTTCATATAATTCTTACCATTCTTTAGTATGTTCAGCACTCTAAGGTGGATTAAGTAATTTAGCTTTTAAAATATCATCTTATCTAATATATTCTCTATAATTTTTGGTCAAATCTGATTGATTATACAATTCAGATTCATGAAGATTTGGATGGACATCAAGTATAGTTTTATATATAGCAGCAGTTTTAACCAATTCATTATAGATACCTATCATTGCTCTTGTTCCTGAGGCCATATATACTGCTTAGATAAAGTATTTTGCTAACTCGGGATCTAAATGTCCAGTGGCAACTAAATAACAACCTTAAAATAAAATTAAAATTAAAGCATATAAGCCTCCACCTTCCATCAGTCCCATATTTAAAGCTTGCATTTTAGAAAATTAAGTTGCTTATTCATACCATCTAAATAACTATGCTGAATATCTTTGATTTTCTTTCTATTCCATATCAGATAATTTGATTAATCTATGTGCTTATAACATTTCTTGTGATACTTCACTTAAACATCCTAATTCCTGTGTTTCTTTTACTTTAAATTAAGACATATATTTTCCTAATAAAATAGCTGATCCTCCCATAACAGCTGCAGCAGCACTTGCAGATGCCAATAATGGAAATGCATAATATGATAAATATGCTGCTCCTCCTATTGTTGTAATAAAGCCTCTAATCATCACAAAAATGTCTTAAGATAATCCAGTAGATACTAAACTAACATCATTTGATAATTTATGAACTAATTATTATGAATGCAACTACTGAGTTTCTCTTGTACTCATTAATTTCTAAAACATAGCATATCTCATCCTCATTCCTACTCTATTACTGATTTATGTATTTAGGAATCTACGAGCACCTCCTAAAAACATTCCAAGTAAGCATACACCTCCCCATTTTACATGATAATATAAATTAGTCTATTAACTCTTTTCTTTGTTTTCTTGATCATATTTTAATTCTTGCAATTTTGCTATATCAGTGGTCACTTAAGGTAAATAGAGAAGCAAAGCACTATTCAAACCAACTACAGTCATTCCAATTATACAAAATCTCTTTTCAGGAACCATTAATTTAAGAAGATTCATGATATCTTTTCCAAAGAATTTTTTAGACTTTTTGCCTTCTTGCATCACAAATAAATTTTATTATATATATTTATCATATTCAAGTTTCTAAGACTCTATTAACTTTTTAAATCTTTCTCAATATAAATATGATGACATTATTAAATGACGATGATCTGATCTTTATATTTATGACATTATCACATGAGTATCTTCACTATTCAAATTAATTGTTTATCGAAGACTTCTTGAATTATTCAATCTATGAATCTTTAAATGTTATTTAATCAAAAAAAATCGTTTCATTACATTTTTTCTAGTCTCAGCCTTTGAAATTAAACACTTTCTAATAAAAGGGAAACAATAAACAATTTTTGGCAATTTTAATAAAATAACCTTTCTCAATTTATCAAAATATTGATCATTCTTTTTAATGAAAGTTTACATTATATGATAGAAGATATAAATCATCAAGAATAACAATATTATTATCATTATTAATTCTGCTATAAATTATACTTCTATTAAACCTTCAACTTTAGTTTCATAAGATAAACTACTGAAACATACAAATATTGAACATAAAAACAAACTAAGTTATTCTATTTTATTAATATTTGATTTCTCATAAGGTTTCTTAAGAGATATTGCAACAAAATATATAAATAAGATTAAAATGACCATCAAGTTTTTGAATATTATTCTTAAATCATTCACATGTGTGTGTATCACTATTATTATTTATCTCATTTGTAAATTAACTAATTCCCAATAATAAAATTATTCTTTGTAATCATTACATAGAAATCCATATATTCCAATTGTTGGATCAATTTTATGTATTTATTTATGTTTTTTCCTTATCAAAATAAAAGTACTAAGTGGAATAGTAAAAAATAGTGTTAACATTATTGGTAATATGAAGTAAAATATCCAAAAATAATGTTATTATGTTTCAAATAAATATGCCATATTAGTTTCAATCCATTCTTTATTTACAACTCTTCTAGATGAAGTCAATAATGATAACCTAAATTATCATAATATTTATACTCTTCCATAATATTTGGCATTGAATAAAACAATAAGAAAAGACATGATGTTAAAGTATATCTGAAACTTTTATTTTTATCAATTAATAATTTTGAGCACAATTAATATAAAAATCCCAATAATAATATTTATCCAATTGGTATTAAAATTGCCCAAATAACTTTCAAATAAATGATAGATATCTAAAACTAATCAGCAACAAAATTGATTAAAAATAACAAAGATTTTGAAGATTTGCCAATAGGCCAAATTATTTAAGAAAAGTTAGATTCAAAACTTATACGAGGAAGTAAAGGATATAATATTTGCATTTAATGTATAAGTAATCTTATTAAAGTTGAGAATTGATCTGAAATTATTAAATTAAAGTATTACCTATTTGACATCTAAATAACAACTTAAAGTGTTTTGTCTTTAATTTTAGACTTCTATATAGTAAATTCATTTCGTATTTATTTCTTGAAATTGTATATGTAACTCCAAAAGTACTAATTATTAATATTATTATATTACAATAGCATTAGGATCAATGTAATTATTATTATTCTAGGTTTCATTTCCCTTATTTCACATACTCCTTGAAGGGATTTTAAAAATGAAGATTCTCCCCTAATATTATAAAGATCACATTCTTTGCATATTGCTCCAATTGAACCTGTTTTACAGGAATCATAATTCACTTTCCAACCCCCAATACACTATTCATTATTTTCACATTGTTCTATATAATGTGAATAATAAGAATATCTCCAAAAACCTGGCAATAATTCTATTGATTAAGATGTTACTGCTTTGATTTTCTTAGGATCTAATCTTTAACATTCAATTGAATCCTTTTCAACTGAATAATATCCTTTATCAAAATCACATTTTAAACATTATTGATTACTATAATATTCTCCAATTTCGCATTTTAATGTTGTAACATTAAAAATAAATATATGATCCTCACTCATACCTTCACAATAAGATTTTACTAGTAAATATATTTATTAAGTAGAATAAGGATCTAAATTAAACAACATATTATCTAAACTATAAGATTATGTTTCAGTATTAAAAGATGAGATAGTCACATTCTCTTATTGAGAACTTATTAAAATCTCCTATAATTAATAACCTTTCTCTTAATCAACATATAATTATTCAAAATAACATTTTCTATCTTTATTATTTATTAATTTTTCTCCAAGTTATGTATATATTTCAATACTTAAAGAGATATTATTTTTCACATATTACATTATTGACTTATCAAATATTTAAAAATCTTTAAGCATCTATCCACTAGCGACTTTAATATTTGTATCATTAATTCTTTATTTCTTATAATTTACTAAATACTCTGGACTATCAACCACTAAAAATCCCATCTCTTATCTTTTTGTTTTTAAAACAACTCCATACATTGACAATTTCAAAAGATCTGCTTCCTCCTTTATATTGTTAAGACCATCTACTGCCTTATTTTCATACAGCATTAATTAATTTATTGTATTTTTTTCCAATTTATTCTATTCAGTAAATATTGCTCCACCAATTTTGGCACTATTATTTATAATTATGACATCAATTGCAATAATTGAAGAATTTAATAAATATATTGCACCAGCAATATTTTAAATAAAATTATTTTTCAAGATAATTTAATTTAACTTAATTGAACTGTTTTAAAATTATAATATCCCATTTGATTATGCTATATTATTCAGAAACTTAGATTTATAAAATTTAATTGATTTACTTTTTACTATAAAACAACTATTGTTACCACAATCATTATTCACAAAATTTATGTTAGATAATAAGATATTTTAATGATCTGAATCACTTAAGAATATTGTCAATCCATTCTAACAAAATGGACATCTAATATTTGTAAGTTTAAGATTCCTAAACCTTAAATATTAAGACTCTTATGTTTGATTTAATTTGAAAAAATAGCGTAATTGATTTTAAGATTCAATGTTAAGAAGTATAAAATCTTCAATAAAAATATTTTTCATTAAACTAGTTTCAACACTAATTATATGAGAAAGTTCACTAATTATCATAATTGAAGTTAAAAAAAATTACTTTAATCTTAAATCTCCATTTTTTAATTTACAAATTGGTTAATTTAAATAGCCAGCATAATGAAAATGAAATATTATCACAGGACTAAAATTAAAAAATAGAAGTACCTAAAACTTGATGTAATTATTCCATCTAAATTACTTGAATTTTGTGAATCAGTATATTTAGATAACTTATTTAAAACTTATTCATCAGTATTATTAAAAGTAATATAATAAAGAAAGATCTTATTATTGTTACTATTAGAAGAAAAATCAAATTTACCAAGAGTATTTTCTTAAGAATATAAGTTTATAAATGAGAGATTTTTCATAAAGATATAATTACTTAAAGTAGATGATATAAGATGTAGAAAAGCACATTTCTATTAAGTAAAAATATTCTTTGCTTTAACATCACTGATTTCTAATTTTAATGTTGATTATTAAGCATCAATAGTCAATACACCTCCTAGTTAAGTTAAATATTCTTTTTAAGATGCAATAATTGTATTATCAAAAATACAATTTTGTATTATTACTTTGCCCTCTTATTTTAATTAAATATAAATGAATCCATAGACAATACTATTCACATCAAAAAGTTCAGAATTAGAAAAATTTATAAATTCTGCTTAAAAAATAGCAAAGCCACATAATGACTTGATTAAATCTTAAAATTCAACATTAATGTTTTAAACATACAAATTTTAAGCAAAAATTGAATTAGCCTCTATAATTATAATAGATTCTGAAGAATTATATACAGTAAAATCTTAAAAGATTAAATTATTTAAAAATATTTATGATTTTGGTGATTTTATTTTTATAAAAGAAGATTAAAATAAGTCTTAATTTGGTTATTAATACCAAAATTAATTCGATTTAAATATACAATTTCTTAATTCAATAATAGACTCTGAATAAATTTAAATGTGAATAACTGAGTTAATAGACTTTATTAAATTTAAACTCTAATAATTTTGAATTACCAAATTTGTGATATTTACATATTTTTTTCCAGATTCATCAGATCTAATTTAAATCAATGGATCAACAATTTAAATCATTCCTAAAATTTTAATTTATTTGAATTCCAATCTATCAAAATTAGAAATATAAATTAATTCATTCTAATAAATTTTAGTTGAACTAATTGTTGATTTAACACTTTCATTTATCTATTTATTTTTTTCAACTGTTAAGTCCTCTATTATAATTTTCATACAGTCCTCTAAACTTAAAAACTGAAATATCAAATCATTTTATATAACAAGGTGATGTGCAATTAGATTTGCATTCTAAATATAAAATATAAAGTTATCACTTATTTTTCCATGAGAATATATCTAATCAATTTTTAGAAATTCAGAATATTTAATAGTTACATCAATATTTATATTTTGCTACAAAGATATGATTTACAATATATTAGATCCATTTAATTGCAAACTTTAGCATTTTAATTGATTAACTAAGAAAGAAGTTGAGGGTGACTCAAATTAGTGATAAAAGAATATACTCCTAATTGCTAAAATGTCTGCTATTTGTATAGCCTCTAAATGTATAGATGAGAAAGTATTTATGATTGTTGAATTATGTAATTAGATGTTGAATAATTTTACTTTAGTAATCTAAATTACATCTTAAGTTTTTGGTATAAAGAATATTGTACTATTTTCTAATAAGCAATCCTCAATTAAAAATTCTTCTATAACATATTATTAATTATGATTCTATAAAGATTAACTTATAAAAACACTATTTATAAAAGTGCAATTCTCAATCTTCACAGATTTTATAAAAATTTTATTAAATTCGTCAGTTGTAAATTAAAAAAAGTAACTATCTTAGAAAGTACAATTTTTAAATTACAAATAATTCATTTCCATTGATGCATTCTTAACAAAATTATTAATTCTTATGATTGTTGCATCAGATAAGTATAAATTCTCTACTAATAACTCCCTTATTTTAACATTAGATGGAAAATTCATTGTTAAGAAATTTCTAGCAATTTCTTCTCCTAAGGTAAGATTCTAAATAATCACTTCAACACCATAAAGAGAAGTTACTACAATATAAGAATTTTTATTCTTATAAATACTATTGAAAATGTGAAAATTAGTAATATTAAATAGTTCAACAAATCCCTATCCTGTCGTATGAACCTCAGCAATAATAGTAGCTGTATAATTTTATAATGCATAGTAATTATTAAGAGCTTTTTGTTATTTTGGAATCATATTTTGAATAATGTAATAATAATTTGATACACTTTTTTATAAAACAAAATTACCATTTTAAAAAGAGGTAGATATTTTTTAACTATAACTTATAAATTTCTACTTCTATTAAGTAATATTATTGAATGGTTTAATTAATCCGCTTCTTTAATCAATATATGTTAAATTATTGTCAAAGTTGATTAAACATTTATGAGTTTATTTAATACTTGTAGAATTAATTTAAAAGTATGGATTATATTTCTAATATTTTATTAATTATTACATGAATTAAATCACTGTCTAGTGGCAGACAAAACTTACAAGGATAAGGACATTGATAACATTTACCAGAAATTTAAGAATAAAAGTCAGTATTTTCATCTTATAATGAAGAACACTTAATGCATTAGTATTCTCCATTGATATATTCACATTAATCACAATTAGAACAAGAATCTATACATTTGTTTGAATTTATATCTAAAACCAGATTATTTGAGCATTAAGTAATTAAGACTTAGTCATAATTCATAAATAATTAACTTAAATCATAAAAATCTTAAGTTAATTATTATAAATATCCAATAGTTTCTAATTTATACTTTTACAACATTTTATTATTTAATTCACAACCTTAAACATTTTCAAATTTCTAACTACAAGCTATACATAAACCATTTAAATTATTATTAAAATATCCATCTTTACATTATAAACATACCATCAGATCAAATAAGTTATAAATACATTATTCACAATTAGGGATTTTATCTTAGCAATTAGTTATTTATTGAAATTTATTCTTTAATAATTCAAATTTTGTAGCATAACAAATAATCTCTCCATCTCTATTTATATAATATTAACAATCATTTTCAATATTATTCTTTTAGCATAAATTATATTTAAATGAAAATGAATAACCTTGTTAACATAAAGCACATCCAACTAAATAATCATCATTTACTTAACTTTATTCATTAATAAATATTGAATTTTATTTAAGATTATATTTATTATATTAAAAGCAATATTTGCAATGTGAAATTGAACATTACTAGCATTATCCCATAAAATTTATAAAATATTAAGTTAAACTAGAACATTTTAAACATTATTCATCCTTACATTATAAACAATTATTTTAACAGGCTATACTATTAATTTTGAGTGGTTTTATAGAAGAACATTCACCATTAGCAAATCTATATCCATCATAGCATTTAATATAAGTTTATTAATTCAAATGTTGATATTTTGATAAATAACAATCTTAATCTTCAAGTTAATTACATAAAAGGCAACCATGACATGGTATCAATTATTCATTTTCAAATATAAATTAAATATTTGTTATTTTAGCATCATTTTATATTTTCAGAAAACTATTATAAGATTAATTTTCGAATTGGTAATATGTTCCCTTACAATTAGCACTTTTTAATACCCAATCAATTGGTCTCATTAAACATTCTACACATATGACCTAATTGTGTTAACTTGCTGACGGACTAGTTTAATTATAATAATACCATTAAAAACACATTTAATCAAAACTAAATTCCCCAAATTTACAGTACTCTAAATCTTAATCTTCTTACTCATCTACTAAATCAACAATCACTTCATTTTATGTAACAAATTAGCAACTAAAATCTGATGTTTCCGAATACCAAACCTTGCATTTACAAGTTTAATCAACTTCATTATAAATTCTATTTGTTGATTCTGGACAACTTAAACATTCATTTTATGATGGACCGTAACATGTTGAACATGAATAATGACATTAAATATTTTTATTATTACAATCATAATATGATATAAGTCCAAATGATCTTCCCAGAGAACTTAATTCTTCACTTGAACCACCAAAAAATAGTCGATAATATATATTTGAAAATTAATAGACATTTTAATAAGTTTTTTCTATTTATTCATCCTGCTTGTGATTAATTAAATAAAAATTTAAATTATATGGGTCGTAAGAAATTTGAATATAATGCCATGTACTTAATAGAAAATAATTTTAAATAAAAATAACATCTTCTTTTAAAAATGGATCATTATTATCTGTAAATTAAACTATTATTGGCAATGCATAAGAATAATATCTGATAATCATCATCCATTATTTTTATTCTGAGTAGTACACATAATATAAAATAAAAGAATTAGATCCTGTTGCTTAAAAATCTGTTGTAAATCTATTTGCTACTATTCTTAAAATATGTATTTTCTGATCAATTTCTGGATCATATTCTTTTGAAATCTTAGCCCAAAATGTTACTTTATAATATTGCAAATTCTAATTTTCGATCATATAGATTTGATGCTAATTAAACTCTCTCATCTCTAATTAACCTAATAGTAAAGTTATAGTTTCTGAACATTAAGTCTCAGTATATATATCCCATGCATCATCCATATCTCTTTAATAAACACTAATTGCTGCCCGTAATTGACCTGGGAATGTTTTTAAATATAACATAGTCTAAGTAATTGGATGTTCAACCTATAATTAATAATATTACAAAGTACATTAAAAGAACCTCCAATAACAAAGTTGAAACTTTTATACTCAAATTGTTAAAAGGAATATTAATTTAAAGCTTTTTCATAGTTTCCCCATCTCATATCGAAATTTAATAATTTTTACTCTATATCATAATTGACATATTGTTAAAACCACCTTCCTTCATAATCTTAAGTATTAAATATAAATTCATTTGATAACCATTAGTTTTCTTATTTATAATAAACATGGTGAATTATTTTTTATTTTGAATTTGATAATTCCACATAATGAAGATAAAATAAATTTCCTTCTAATAGTATTCCACTCGACAAAAAGTAGTAAATATCAGTATTGATCGTTTCATACATATAATATTTTGCTCCTAAAGGACATAATTTTGATACAACTCCTTGACTATATGTTGGGTTACTCCAATCTGTATCAACTGAGTATCTATTCTAATCATTGATATAGGTAAAGCTAGAGATGCATATATAAAATAAATGGAATATTAAAAACATAATTAAAAAAAATCAATTTTCTGAATATTAAATAAAAATATTTATATTTATAAGTCATTAAAGGAATTTTTATAATTTAATAATCATATCTTATTTTATCAGAATTGATCATATTAATTAGATTTATAAATTGATGATATTTAAATATTTAAATATACATCCATCCAAAATCATGAATCAATAGTAGATATCATAACAAATATTTGGAAATTCATCTAATTAGTAATAAATTCAATAAACTCCTTTTAACCATCCTATTTATTAATAACAATAGAATATAACAAATTTAGGAATTGCTTAATAAGCTACTGTAAATAATTTACCAAATCCTATCATACCTCATTGTAATAACAATGTATTTGGATAGCCAACTAACATAATCTATCAAACGTAATAACCATTTTAACAAATTCCTCTAAATTAGAACTCTTTATTTTCATCATTAAATAAAAATACTAATTCAGCTTTTATAGATTATGGAGACGATGAAAGGATAGAGCTTAAAAAAGAAGATGCAAAATAAACTGCTAATAAGTATAATTTAAATGAAAAACTATCTTTCGAAATTAAGGCCTTATATAAAATGGGGAAATTACTCAATAATAGAACATAATACTTACCTGGAATTGTAAGTATAAAAGCAAAAGATTAAAATATTACTCAAAATCATGAAAATAAAAGGGTTGGAGTAGATTTGGTATTTATTTTTTAATAAATGTTTAGATTTGTTTGATTGATATTAGTGGAAGTATGATTGGAGTTAAAATTCAAATGGTTAAAGAATCTTTAATTGTTTTACTTTAATTTCTTGGAGATGAAGATAGACTACAATTAATAACATTCGATAATGATGCCCACAGATTAACACCATTAAAGAGAGTAACAAAACAGAATAAAGTTTATTTTACTTAAATTATTCAATAAATTCAGGCAAATGGAGGTAATCGTATTTCAGAAGCTACTAAAATGGCATTTTGCTAATTAAAAAATAGAAAATATGTAAATAATGTGACATCTATTTTCTTACTTTCTGATGGTGTGGATTATACTTTTCCAGAAATTAAGGAATAAATAAAGACAGCCAATGAAGTATTTACTTTACATACATTTGGTTTTGGATAAGATCATGATGCTCCTATGATGACTTAAATTTGTAATTTAAAAAGTGGAAGTTTTTATTTTGTTTAGGATGTAACATTATTGGATGAATTCTTTGCAGATGCTTTGGGAGGACTTATTTCAGTTGTTGGTGAATAATTAGATATAACTATTACTTCTTAAGCACCTCCTCCCTATTAAAATATTTAAATATCTAAAACTTATGGTAATATGTGGCAAAAGAAAGGAAATCAATATTATATTACTCAACCTTAATTTGCTTCAGGATCTAGAAAAGATTATGTTTTTGAAATAGCTCTTCCTAAGTTTGAGGCAAAAATTGAGGATTTCCAAAGAAATGTCAAAGTTATAGATGCAGAATTAAGAATCAAAGATCCAGTTAATGGAACAGTTATTACTAAATAAACCAGTCTCACATTAACATTTTTTAATGAAGATGAATTAATTAATTAAAATGAAGCTGATCTTGATGTTTATGCATAGTATTTCAGAGTCAAAGGAACAGAAGTGATTGATGAAGCAAGAAAAGCTTGTGAATAAAATAAGAACGAGGATGCCTAAAAATTAATTGATAATATGTTGATACAAATTTAAAAGAATCCAAATGTTGCTGCTTAATGTACTGGAATTATTTAAGATTTGCAATAGGCAAAATAGGCATCTGCAAGAACATCATATAGTTTATTTGGACAGAAACAAATGTGTCAAATGGTCAGTAATAATTATCAATAGGGAGGAGTCAATTCTTTGTTTTCTGCCTAAGGAATGCAATTATAATAAGTTTAACCAGCTGCATACTAGAATGTTTAATAATAATAGATGATGTTTTAAGTGCAATCCTCAAAGGCACCCTAGAAATTTAATTGATTTCATTACATTAATAAATTTATCAGATGAATATTTTTTGTCTATGAGGATTTTTATTTTTTTATTAAATTCTAATTCCTTTGATATTTCATAATTTAAACAGGAATATAATAAATTTTTTTATATATATTGCCCGTAAAAGAAATGAGTTAAATACTTGTATTTCTAAATTTTTGATTAAAAAATTTGTATTTAAAATATATAATTTTATCGAAAATCCTTATATAATTAATGAATGAAACCTAAAAATTGAAAATAACTTATTGATTTAGAGAACAATTTTATACATAAAGTAATTGTTCCTTTTTTTCTTATCAGAGGTTTAGTTATATTGAGGATTGTTCTTATGAAAATTACTGATTGCGATTAAACCATTTAAATTCTCAAAATTATTTATAATAATGATTTCATATTTTTAAACTGCTCCTATTTAAAAAAAGTCAATTAAATTTTTTTTTGAATAACAAAATTCTTTTTGTAGGCTATGAAATGGTTCAATGAATTTGATATTTAAATTTTACAAGAATAACTATTTTACTACAATCAAATGAAAAAAAAATTAAAAAAAGATAAATAAATAGAGTGCTCTTAGTAGAAGTTAATTTGATTTTAATAAATCTAACACTACTTCAAACTTGCTCATATTACAGATCAATTAGCCATTCTCTTAAAAAACTCAAACAAGAGTTTGATTTAATATAAATAGGGATTTTGGTAATTTGAAATCAACAAATTAATTAATAAATAAAATTATTAGGTGAAAATATTGGGGCTTAATTAGGGTTTAATCTTTTCCAAAGATGTCAGAATTTTAAATAATAAATGACAAACTTTTTGGTTAGATAGTCATAATTTAAAATCTCATATAATAATGGTTAAGGCTTTTTAAATGAACCTACTTCCCTATCATATTCGTTTATCTTTTTATTCCTTCAATATCTTTCTTTGCTTTCTTCTTTTACACCTCTTCAATAGAACTTATGATTATTTTAAGTTTTGTTTGATAGATAAATTGATTAATTTAAATCCTTCAATTTTCTTTGATATTTGATTAAAGTATTTACTTTATATCCTTTAATAAAAAATTCCTAAGCACATTGAATTTCGGTTATTTAAAATATTAATGGTTTAAGCGAACAAAAAATAGTGCATTCATTAACCAAACTAAATTTTCCAGCTTTTGACCAAAGCCAATATCCTATCCAACCAAATAAAAATATACTCTATATAAATCAATTTTTGGTTGCTTCTTAAATTAATAGAAATTATTATATCCTGCAAGTAAATAATTAGTTTATTACTACTGCCAGCAAATATTCGCTCTTTACAAATGATGTCTAGAATAGAGATANTACATGAGAACTATTTTCTTTAGGAAGAATAACTATTATTCTATTTATAAATACAATTCCAAAAATATTATATTTGCTTAAAAAATATAAGGATTAATAATATATAATGAAAACTTTGAGTATCAATTCAATTCAAAAAAAACATCTGAACAGTGAAAATGATCAAGTTTGTTAAGAAAAATACTGAAGAATTTGGATAAACTGAAAATGATTAAAAATATAATGTGAGGACATTAATGAAAAATTATGAATAATAATATCAGAATTTATCATATAAGTGTATTTATATGCAAATTTTTTTTAATGAGCATTTAAATATTTTAAAAAAAACTTGAAATGATTTAGACCAACTTTCAATAACATCCCAAGAAGGTAATACTACTATTTATGTTTTTAGATTTATGTCTTACAAAGAACATAAAGTTAATTACCAATGAGCCTTATATAATAATAGCCTTAACAACAAAAATTAGAATATTTTTAGTAATCAAAAATTCCACATTAACCTGTGATATAAAATCTCCAATATCAAATGAATCCTCATATTAATTAATAAAAATTCAAATATGGTGAATAAGTGTAGCAAACTCAATTAGGATAATAAATAGTTTATTAACCTCAACTATCAAATATATAAAGATCTATTGTCGCTTAAAAGATCATAAATTATCAAGATGATGAAATGATTCAACCAAAAAAAGAAAATGCAAAATAAACAGCAAAATATGATTTAAATGAAAATTTACAATTAGAAATAAAAACTTTATACAAAATGGTCAAACTATTCCCTACCAAAGCATAATACTTACCTGGAATTGTAAGTATAAAAGCAAAAGATTAAAATATTACTCAAAATCATGAAAATAAAAGGGTTGGAGTAGATTTGGTATTTATTTTTTAATAAATGTTTAGATTTGTTTGATTGATATTAGTGGAAGTATGATTGGAGTTAAAATTCAAATGGTTAAATAATCTTTAATTGTTTTACTTTAATTTCTTGGAGATAACGATAGACTACAATTAATAACATTCGATGATGATGCCTATAGATTAACACCATTAAAGAGAGTAACAAAACAGAATAAAGTTTATTTTACTTAAATTATTCAATAAATTCAGGCAGATGGAGGTAATCGTATTTCAGAAGCTACTAAAATGGCATTTTACTAATTAAAAAATAGAAAATATGTAAATAATGTGACATCTATTTTCTTACTTTCTGATGGTGTGGATTATACTTTTCCAGAAATTAAGGAATAAATAAAGACAGCCAATGAAGTATTTACTTTACATACATTTGGTTTTGGATAAGATCATGATGCTCCTATGATGACTTAAATTTGTAATTTAAAAAGTGGAAGTTTTTATTTTGTTTAGGATGTAACATTATTGGATGAATTCTTTGCAGATGCTTTGGGAGGACTTATTTCAGTTGTTGGTGAATAATTAGATATAACTATTACTTCTTAAGCACCTCCTCCCTATTAAAATATTTAAATATCTAAAACTTATGGTAATATGTGGCAAAAGAAAGGAAATCAATATTATATTACTCAACCTTAATTTGCTTCAGGATCTAGAAAAGATTATGTTTTTGAAATAGCTCTTCCTAAATTTTAAGGAAGAGTTTAAGACTATCAAAGATCTATTGGGGTATTGTTCGCAGAATTAAAAGTTTAAGATCCTTTTACTGGATCTATTATAAAAAAAAAAGCAAACCTTGATTTGAATTTATTTAATGTTGACGAATAAATCAACGAAAATATTTATCCTGATATTGATGTTTATGCATAGTATTTCAGAGTCAAAGGAACAGAAGTAATTTATGAAGCAAGTAAAGCTTGTGAATAAAATAAGAACGAGGATGCCTAAAAATTAATAGATAATATGTTGATACAAATTTAAAAGAATCCAAATGTTGCTGCTTAATGTACTGGAATTATTTAAGATTTGTCATAAGCAAAATAAGCATCTGCAAGAACATCATATAATTTATTTGGCCAGAAACAAATGTGTCAAATGGTCNGAATTTGGATAAACTGAAAATGATTAAAAATATAATGTGAGGACATTAATGAAAAATTATGAATAATAATATCAGAATTTATCATATAAGTGTATTTATATGCAAATTTTTTTTAATGAGCATTTAAATATTTTAAAAAAAACTTGAAATGATTTAGACCAACTTTCAATAACATCCCAAGAAGGTAATACTACTATTTATGTTTTTAGATTTATGTCTTACAAAGAACATAAAGTTAATTACCAATGAGCCTTATATAATAATAGCCTTAACAACAAAAATTAGAATATTTTTAGTAATCAAAAATTCCACATTAACCTGTGATATAAAATCTCCAATATCAAATGAATCCTCATATTAATTAATAAAAATTCAAATATGGTGAATAAGTGTAGCAAACTCAATTAGGATAATAAATAGTTTATTAACCTCAACTATCAAATATATAAAGATCTATTGTCGCTTAAAAGATCATAAATTATCAAGATGATGAAATGATTCAACCAAAAAAAGAAAATGCAAAATAAACAGCAAAATATGATTTAAATGAAAATTTACAATTAGAAATAAAAACTTTATACAAAATGGTCAAACTATTCCCTACCAAAGCATAATACTTACCTGGAATTGTAAGTATAAAAGCAAAAGATTAAAATATTACTCAAAATCATGAAAATAAAAGGGTTGGAGTAGATTTGGTATTTATTTTTTAATAAATGTTTAGATTTGTTTGATTGATATTAGTGGAAGTATGATTGGAGTTAAAATTCAAATGGTTAAATAATCTTTAATTGTTTTACTTTAATTTCTTGGAGATAACGATAGACTACAATTAATAACATTCGATGATGATGCCCACAGATTAACACCATTAAAGAGAGTAACAAAACAGAATAAAGTTTATTTTACTTAAATTATTCAATAAATTCAGGCAAATGGAGGTAATCGTATTTCAGAAGCTACTAAAATGGCATTTTACTAATTAAAAAATAGAAAATATGTAAATAATGTGACATCTATTTTCTTACTTTCTGATGGTGTGGATTATACTTTTCCAGAAATTAAGGAATAAATAAAGACAGCCAATGAAGTATTTACTTTACATACATTTGGTTTTGGATAAGATCATGATGCTCCTATGATGACTTAAATTTGTAATTTAAAAAGTGGAAGTTTTTATTTTGTTTAGGATGTAACATTATTGGATGAATTCTTTGCAGATGCTTTGGGAGGACTTATTTCAGTTGTTGGTGAATAATTAGATATAACTATTACTTCTTAAGCACCTCCTCCCTATTAAAATATTTAAATATCTAAAACTTATGGTAATATGTGGCAAAAGAAAGGAAATCAATATTATATTACTCAACCTTAATTTGCTTCAGGATCTAGAAAAGATTATGTTTTTGAAATAGCTCTTCCTAAATTTTAAGGAAGAGTTTAAGACTATCAAAGATCTATTGGGGTATTGTTCGCAGAATTAAAAGTTTAAGATCCTTTTACTGGATCTATTATAAAAAAAAAAGCAAACCTTGATTTGAATTTATTTAATGTTGACGAATAAATCAACGAAAATATTTATCCTGATATTGATGTTTATGCATAGTATTTCAGAGTCAAAGGAACAGAAGTAATTTATGAAGCAAGTAAAGCTTGTGAATAAAATAAGAACGAGGATGCCTAAAAATTAATAGATAATATGTTGATACAAATTTAAAAGAATCCAAATGTTGCTGCTTAATGTACTGGAATTATTTAAGATTTGTCATAAGCAAAATAAGCATCTGCAAGAACATCATATAATTTATTTGGCCAGAAACAAATGTGTCAAATGGTCAGTAATAATTATCAATAAGGGGGAGTCAATTCTATGTTTTCTACCTAAGGAATTCAATTATAATAAAACTAACCAGCTACATACTAGAATATATAATAATAATAGATGATGGCTTAAGTGTAAAAATCAAAGATACCATAGAAATTTAATTGATTTTCAATGAATATATAATTAGATTATAAGAAATTTTTTTATAAGTAGATCTAATTTAAAATTTTTTATCATTTTTAATTAAATGTGAATTTTTTCTATAATTAGTAAACAATTTCTACAATATAATCAAAATTGAGGGGTATAATAATTTTGACTAAATATATTGACAAGAAAAGAATTTTATTAAATTCTTGTATTTCTAAATATTTATAAAAAATTGTAATTAAAATAAGTAATTTAACTGAAAATACTTCAGAAATTAATTAATGTAATCTAAAATCTAATTTATAAATTATGTAAATTTTTTAATCTGACAAGCTTTAGTTACTATCATACTTTTAAAGAGAATATTATACCAAAAATATTTATTCCTTTTTCTTAGAATTTAATACAGTTTACTATAGTTTAAGGTGTTTGAGATACTTTTATTCAATCCATATTATTTTGGATTTCTTAGTATAAGCAAAAATGAGCATTTTAAAATTGAATTGCCTAATTAAATCATATCAAATTTCATAAATAGCTTAAATCTTTTATTTGGAAAGGTCAGGGGTTCTGCAATTTTTAAGATTTTATTAACTAAATTGCTGATCTTGATTATGCTCTTTAGATTCTCACAATTATCTAGATTAATAATTCAAAATTATTAAAGGTTTCCTTTGTTTTTATATTTATCATAAATTTTACATTAACTTGTTGAAAATTATAATATTTCTTTTGTATTTAAAAGTTTCAGTTTTTTGTTTTCTTCATTTTTTATTGAATTAAATTGAAATAAATAATTTTCTTTAAATATCTGTTTCGATTTTATGTTACTTAAAATGCCAAATAGCTATTTGAAGTTATTGACCCTAATATTCCTATAGATGATGCTTGCTTATAATAATCTATTATTTTCAATATAATTATTACCTAAAATGTCAATAATGAGAGAACAGTCTCAGTAATTGAAAATTTTATTAAGAATTTTTTAAATAAATTTTTCAGTCATTAACTTTGATTTGGTTTTAAATTTTAATAATGTTTTATCTTGATATACTAAAAAACCATTATGGCAGCATTTATTGTTCACTATTAGATATAAACTATTTCAAAAAAAAATTTCAAATATATTATTCAAGAATTCAATCTGAAGTATCAATCATCAATATATTATAATATAAATGGTTTAACTTTATTATCAGAATAATGATATTAAAATAATCATTCCAAGTGGTAATAAGGTGAAAAATATAATTTTAAATCAAAATCAATTAGTATTAATTTAATTGAACCCCATTTCATTTATTAATTAAATTACAAAAATTAAAAATTCTAATATGAAATACCCTCTTAAAAATATTTATAATGACTTTGCCTTTTATTATATTTTCTTCATTTAAATATTGATTGAAATATTTGCACAGTACTCCAAAAATTGTTCAATTTTCAATTTGGCCTAATCATTTTTTCTTTTATTGAATACGCTAGAGTAAATACCGTCAATATTTCTCATAAAAAAAGACATCTTAAAAGATGATTGTCTGTATTTTTACAACTATGTTCTTCACATTTTTGCTATTACTTACTAAATAATTTATTTATATTCTCACGTAGGTTTTAATACCTTTCAAAATTATTTCCTACAAAATATAGTGAGACTTTATTGGCATTATTAGTCAGACAGCTGCAGGACTTTCTCACATTTTTCTTTATTTTTACATAGCTTTTTTACTCATTTTTGCATCGATGTGCTCAGAGATCCAACTAATTTATTAAGAAACTAGTTGGACAACACTATGGTATACTTAAAACACCTCTTTAAGGACTTTCACCAGATGAGTTCAAGATCTAATATTGAAGAGTTTTTTGCAGAAATTATGTTAATTTAGTATAAAATATTTAGTAAAAAAATATAGTTGCCTTAAATAGACCTTAAGTTGCTGAAAATTAACCCTCTTTTCAAAAATTTTATGTGAGGTAGTACTTTTACTTTTTGTCAAGCATCATGTTTGAGGCAAAAATTGAGGATTTCCAAAGAAATGTCAAAGTTATAGATGCAGAATTAAGAATCAAAGATCCAGTTAATGGAACAGTTATTACCAAATAAACCAGTCTCACATTAACATTTTTTAATTAAGATGAATAAATTAATTAAAATGAAGCTGATATTGATGTTTATGCATAGTATTTCAGAGTCAAAGGAACAGAAGTAATTTATGAAGCAAGTAAAGCTTGTGAATAAAATAAAAACGAGGATGCCTAAAAATTAATAGATAATATGTTGATACAAATTTAAAAGAATCCAAATGTTGCTGCTTAATGTACTGGAATTATTTAAGATTTGTCATAAGCAAAATAAGCATCTGCAAGAACATCATATAATTTATTTGGCCAGAAACAAATGTGTCAAATGGTCAGTAATAATTATCAATAGGGAGGAGTCAATTCTTTATTTTCTGCCTAAGGAATGCAATTATAATAAGTTTAACCAGCTGCATACTAGAATGTTTAATAATAATAGATGATGTTTTAAGTGCAATTTTCAAAATCTAATTAAAAAACCATTGATTGATTTATTATAATATAATTTTAATATTATTGATTATGAAAAAATTTAAAAGAAATTACTTGTTTTTAAATTTTACTTCCCTCAAAAATAAAAATTTGAAGAAGAGATTTAAAGAATCTGCACTTGTCTTTCCAATTTCAGGATACAAATAATCTGTGGATATTTCAATCATGAATATACTCCTCTAAAAATTTTTTTAATCTTGCCTTAATTAGGAAATAAAACCTTTTAAAGATTTATAGAAGATGAGTTGATCAACTCTAGAATTGATCACATCCTGATCTATCCTCGAAATTGAAATATATCAGCCACTACAGAATTAACAAAACCATCAGACCATTTTCTAAATACAGCAACTGCTGAGTTTAAAAAAAAATTCTAATTGAGACATCACAAATTTAAATATATATAAAGCTTTTCCCTCAAATCAAAAAGCAAACAAAATTTTTAAATACGTTGAAAAAATTTTTTAATCGATCTAGAAGAGTAGGGATGTGATTTAATATCAAAACTTCTTGTTAGATATCCCCTCTTAAAAATTCATCAACATATGATCTATCATCTTAAGACAATAGATAGGAATTTTTAAGTAGAAAATAATGCTGAAGCTTTTCGAAAGATAAATAGAATCACAATAATGAAACCAAAAAAACTTTGATAGCAGATTTTAATGCTTATATTTCTGAAAAAGGAGAGATAAAATTTAATATTCAATCAGAAAACTTTTTATTAAAATTAGCTGCTATATCTGGTTGGTGATTAAATGCACTTCAAAAGTTACCTCCACTACCTCCACTTGGTTTAAAGGAGATATTAAAGCTTTAAAAACTAGTTTCAAAAAACGAAGCAATTATATTTGATGGAATTTCTAATCTGTTGATTAATAGAAAAATGAAATTTAAATATAATTATTGATTAAGAAAAAAATTTAAACATAATTAAATTTTCCTGAAATATTTAGGTCAAGATTGAAACCATTTTATAAAGCACATCCCGACATTCCAAAAGACAATGAGTTTAGACTAATAATAATACTGAGCCCATTGCTAAAATTGATGGTAATGAGATTTGCTCACCAACTTAATAAATACTTAGATATTAAAATGTAAACAGACTAAAAAGGGTTGTTAAAAACTCTGGCACACATGTTTGCTAAGTTAGAATCTAGGATCTCGTTTAATAGGAATAGAAGTTTGGCAATTGAAATAAATGCCACTTATTTCTTGACTTTAAGAGTGGATATAACTTTTTAGATCGAGAAAAAAGTTTAGTTTTGTTGAAAATTAGAACGTTAAAGTAAATTTTTTTAAGCTTAATATTTTTGTCATAATATTTCTAAAAACTTGATGGATTTAAGATTACTCTTATGAATGGAGTACCATAACGGTCGCCATTATCGCCAGACTTCTTTAATATTGATATGTAGGATCATATACAGGAATTAAAGTTTAGATTACATGAAAATGTAGAAACAATGATTTATGCAGATGTATTGGGACTTATTTTTGACTTTAATAAAGTTTGACTTAATATTAAGAATACTAAATGAATAAGAAATTATCTACAAAATGAAAATAAGTTAATAAAAATCAGGATTTTTATACTTAGGAGTGATGCTTGACAAAAAGTAAAAGTACTACCTCACATAAAATTTTTGAAAAGAGGGTTAATTTTCAGCAACTTAAGGTCTATTTAAGGCAACTATATTTTTTTACTAAATATTTTATACTAAATTAACATAATTTCTGCAAAAAACTCTTCAATATTAGATCTTGAACTCATCTGGTGAAAGTCCTTAAAGAGGTGTTTTAAGTATACCATAGTGTTGTCCAACTAGTTTCTTAATAAATTAGTTGGATCTCTGAGCACATCGATGCAAAAATGAGTAAAAAAGCTATGTAAAAATAAAGAAAAATGTGAGAAAGTCCTGCAGCTGTCTGACTAATAATGCCAATAAAGTCTCACTATATTTTGTAGGAAATAATTTTGAAAGGTATTAAAACCTACGTGAGAATATAAATAAATTATTTAGTAAGTAATAGCAAAAATGTGAAGAACATAGTTGTAAAAATACAGACAATCATCTTTTAAGATGTCTTTTTTTATGAGAAATATTGACGGTATTTACTCTAGCGTATTCAATAAAAGAAAAAATGATTAGGCCAAATTGAAAATTGAACAATTTTTGGAGTACTGTGCAAATATTTCAATCAATATTTAAATGAAGAAAATATAATAAAAGGCAAAGTCATTATAAATATTTTTAAGAGGGTATTTCATATTAGAATTTTTAATTTTTGTAATTTAATTAATAAATGAAATGGGGTTCAATTAAATTAATACTAATTGATTTTGATTTAAAATTATATTTTTCACCTTATTACCACTTGGAATGATTATTTTAATATCATTATTCTGATAATAAAGTTAAACCATTTATATTATAATATATTGATGATTGATACTTCAGATTGAATTCTTGAATAATATATTTGAAATTTTTTTTTGAAATAGTTTATATCTAATAGTGAACAATAAATGCTGCCATAATGGTTTTTTAGTATATCAAGATAAAACATTATTAAAATTTAAAACCAAATCAAAGTTAATGACTGAAAAATTTATTTAAAAAATTCTTAATAAAATTTTCAATTACTGAGACTGTTCTCTCATTATTGACATTTTAGGTAATAATTATATTGAAAATAATAGATTATTATAAGCAAGCATCATCTATAGGAATATTAGGGTCAATAACTTCAAATAGCTATTTGGCATTTTAAGTAACATAAAATCGAAACAGATATTTAAAGAAAATTATTTATTTCAATTTAATTCAATAAAAAATGAAGAAAACAAAAAACTGAAACTTTTAAATACAAAAGAAATATTATAATTTTCAACAAGTTAATGTAAAATTTATGATAAATATAAAAACAAAGGAAACCTTTAATAATTTTGAATTATTAATCTAGATAATTGTGAGAATCTAAAGAGCATAATCAAGATCAGCAATTTAGTTAATAAAATCTTAAAAATTGCAGAACCCCTGACCTTTCCAAATAAAAGATTTAAGCTATTTATGAAATTTGATATGATTTAATTAGGCAATTCAATTTTAAAATGCTCATTTTTGCTTATACTAAGAAATCCAAAATAATATGGATTGAATAAAAGTATCTCAAACACCTTAAACTATAGTAAACTGTATTAAATTCTAAGAAAAAGGAATAAATATTTTTGGTATAATATTCTCTTTAAAAGTATGATAGTAACTAAAGCTTGTCAGATTAAAAAATTTACATAATTTATAAATTAGATTTTAGATTACATTAATTAATTTCTGAAGTATTTTCAGTTAAATTACTTATTTTAATTACAATTTTTTATAAATATTTAGAAATACAAGAATTTAATAAAATTCTTTTCTTGTCAATATATTTAGTCAAAATTATTATACCCCTCAATTTTGATTATATTGTAGAAATTGTTTACTAATTATAGAAAAAATTCACATTTAATTAAAAATGATAAAAAATTTTAAATTAGATCTACTTATAAAAAAATTTCTTATAATCTAATTATATATTCATTGAAAATCAATTAAATTTCTATGGTATCTTTGATTTTTACACTTAAGCCATCATCTATTATTATTATATATTCTAGTATGTAGCTGGTTAGTTTTATTATAATTGAATTCCTTAGGTAGAAAACATAGAATTGACTCCCCCTTATTGATAATTATTACTGACCATTTGACACATTTGTTTCTGGCCAAATAAATTATATGATGTTCTTGCAGATGCTTATTTTGCTTATGACAAATCTTAAATAATTCCAGTACATTAAGCAGCAACATTTGGATTCTTTTAAATTTGTATCAACATATTATCTATTAATTTTTAGGCATCCTCGTTCTTATTTTATTCACAAGCTTTACTTGCTTCATAAATTACTTCTGTTCCTTTGACTCTGAAATACTATGCATAAACATCAATATCAGGATAAATATTTTCGTTGATTTATTCGTCAACATTAAATAAATTCAAATCAAGGTTTGCTTTTTTTTTTATAATAGATCCAGTAAAAGGATCTTAAACTTTTAATTCTGCGAACAATACCCCAATAGATCTTTGATAGTCTTAAACTCTTCCTTAAAATTTAGGAAGAGCTATTTCAAAAACATAATCTTTTCTAGATCCTGAAGCAAATTAAGGTTGAGTAATATAATATTGATTTCCTTTCTTTTGCCACATATTACCATAAGTTTTAGATATTTAAATATTTTAATAGGGAGGAGGTGCTTAAGAAGTAATAGTTATATCTAATTATTCACCAACAACTGAAATAAGTCCTCCCAAAGCATCTGCAAAGAATTCATCCAATAATGTTACATCCTAAACAAAATAAAAACTTCCACTTTTTAAATTACAAATTTAAGTCATCATAGGAGCATCATGATCTTATCCAAAACCAAATGTATGTAAAGTAAATACTTCATTGGCTGTCTTTATTTATTCCTTAATTTCTGGAAAAGTATAATCCACACCATCAGAAAGTAAGAAAATAGATGTCACATTATTTACATATTTTCTATTTTTTAATTAGTAAAATGCCATTTTAGTAGCTTCTGAAATACGATTACCTCCATTTGCCTGAATTTATTGAATAATTTAAGTAAAATAAACTTTATTCTGTTTTGTTACTCTCTTTAATGGTGTTAATCTGTGGGCATCATTATCGAATGTTATTAATTGTAGTCTATCTTCATCTCCAAGAAATTAAAGTAAAACAATTAAAGATTCTTTAACCATTTGAATTTTAACTCCAATCATACTTCCACTAATATCAATCAAACAAATCTAAACATTTATTAAAAAATAAATACCAAATCTACTCCAACCCTTTTATTTTCATGATTTTGAGTAATATTTTAATCTTTTGCTTTTATACTTACAATTCCAGGTAAGTATTATGCTTTGGTAGGGAATAGTTTGACC